GAACCCCATAAAACCCTGAAATTGTAGCAGTTTACACGCGGTGATATTTTAACAACAACCAATTAATAGTGTCACATTATTATTTATTAAACACTTCCTGTTTGTGTCGTCATTGCATGTCTAACAATAATGACGTTTTGCATTCTTTACTCGTGAGTTAACAGATCATGACTTGCTTCATGTTTAACTATTTTAATAGTTTAAWAGTTTAATAGATCAAAATCTGTGCAGCACAMGCTGGAGTCATTGCTCCGAAAGCAAAACATTTCATTTATTCACATTATGAAATGAAATAAATCATTGTGTATTCCACCGACAGAAATGACTCGTAACCAAATCTGACCAATCAGGCGCGTTGTTGCACGATACCTCTTCAAATAGCCAATCACGAGAGATCTCTTATCAAATGCAAGTTAGTTCCGCTTTACAAAATTTCGTCATAACTTGTCTTGTTTTCAATGCAATGGTAACAATCTTTATTTAGTAACATGCTACACACATTGTATATACTTTGCAGCTTTGTTCATTTTTAAGAGGCACCAATAGAGGCTTTAGGCAACGGACTTCCCGGACGTGCCGTTCTACATGGAGACAATGTATTGGAAAACGTGAAGAGATTAGAAGTTGCAGGCACTATAGGAATTCTAAAGGTCAGTAATTTCCAATAATGAAGTTTCTATTTAATTTAACACGAGCATCCCAGCCTTGCATAGGAAGAAMTGCTATAGTAAGGATTTCTTATATTTGAAATGACTGTCGTTTAAAGGAAAGATATATATATTATGACAAGTGTTGTTGCTTTGAAAACGTTGTTCTTGTATCTTCTTAAAGGTTTAAAAAATTTTAAAGCTACAGCTGCAGTTCATACGAATTATCGAAGGCATACAGAATAGAAGAATAGATATAGTTTATTTGGAATACGGACTGTACGTGGATGCAGAAAAAGAGAGCGAACAGTAGCTCATGACTGAGCTGCTTGCAAAGCTATTGAAACGTCACGATATTCTTCGCCATCGGTMAAGCCAYCAGATCCACATTGCTGTCACGGATTTASTAGTATCTATACATTAACAAGATAACTACTGAGAGTGTTTGATTGGTAAATGATTGCTCGTTGATTACAATGCAACGTGCTTCTAAATTCCAGACAAAACCMCCAAAGTCGCTTTTCTACATCAATATATCAAAACAGCGTCTTCTAAAGGAAGTTGACCGGGTGAACTCTTCCGTGAAGTTCTTGTTTGTACTTTGTCGTGTTCGTTCTATCTGAATATCATTTATCGATAATTTTAAAGGATCAGAAACGACTTTCCTGCGGTGAATGAAAGTGGAATTGCGGAAACATAACAAATATATTTATTCTCACGGGTTTTGTGCTATCACTCGAATAATTTAGTTACAAGTATAGTGACAACACTGTTGAGCGTCATGCACGGCTACTGACAATAGCAAGAGTGTTTTAAAACCTGTTTTTTTTTTTTTGTTATTGTTGCCAGTAGTTGTTTCATGACTTCCCTTGTTCGTTGTTAATAGTTATGTTTAGATATCTATACCAATCGGCTGCTATGCAACACGAGGGTAAGCTCTCAAGTTAAAGCTATTGTACTACAGTTTGCCATATCACAGTGTTGTTCTGTGCTTACATACTCTAACATTCTATGTTTAGTTACATCAGGCATGCTTTGCTCATAATGAATGCTCTTCTCTAATGTGCCATTGCGGTGCAGTCATGCTATACTTTAAGCTGTGATATGCTGCTTTATATACTAAGTATTCATTAATTCACAGCTATATATGCAATAAATCTTTGTCTTTTAACATGTACGATTAATTTCATTCATGCAATACTCCTTCCAGTTTTGAATTCTCGAATTCGCTGTAATAATCTCATTTTTGTGTGAAGTACTACTAGAAGTTGGCAAAACAAAGTTGTGAAAATGAATTTTAGTCATTATTTTCTGTGGCAAATTCCGTGCGTTTCCGTGGGTCAGTGAACCAAAAGAATGCTACATGGTTTTGAGTATAACAAAGAGCAAACCAAAATGTTCTGCAGGTATAATGAATGCTATCTCGCTGACTAATACCCTTGGCGTTTAATGTTGTCCTATGCCTTACAGGTAGTAATATTACCTGATATGCTTCGTTAAGGAATACATGGAAAATAAACTCTGTCCTCTTGTGTTCATTGAACCAAGAGCAAATTAGTTCAAAGTGCACAATAATTTGCATTTTGCTATTTTCAGGTCCACTGCAATACCATGTYTAGTCCCAACGAAGTCATCTCAATGGAAGAAACAAGTGAAGAGGAAACGAAAAGACTTCAAGAAAAAGCCAAGAATGGTCCAAGAGGTCTATTACTTAATCTGGATGACGAGACCCACAACGAGTTTCCACTAGCAGTTCTAAACCTCGTTGACTTATGCGAACTTCATTTATCCATTGGTAATCTGTCATCCATTCCTACCTCTATATGTACACTCCAGTCGCTCAAGGTTTTGGAACTAAGGAATCATGATTTCAAAATGTTCCCAGACGCTGTTTGTGGTATAACCAGTTTAGAAGTTGTTGACTTATGCGGGAACAATATCTCCTCCGTACCAAGTGAAATAACAAATCTTGTTAACCTGAAGAAGCTTGTTCTTCAACGTAACGAACTAGAAGGAGAACTCAGTGAGAGTATCTCTTCTCTCTGCAATCTCCAGTATTTAGATGTGTCAAAGAATTCATTGACAACAATTCCAGAATCCTTTGAAAAACTTTGTGGACTCCAGCATCTCATACTGTCAGGAAATTTGTTTACACGTTGCCCCGAAGTTGTTAAAAAGCTGACTGAATTAAGGACTCTGGACATTTCTTATAATGACCTAAAGGAGTTTAGCATTGACATTTCTGGATTGAGACTACTGGAGAATCTGGATCTGGAATCCACCAACTTGACAGTAGTCTGCGATGTTGTATGCACGTTGACTAGCCTTAGGAGGCTGGACCTGGGATTGAATAAGCTTGAAACCATCTCGGAGAACTTCAGCAAACTAACCAAACTTAAAGCGCTATGGCTTAATAACAACAATCTGACAAGCTTTCCTACTGTGCTTTGTGAACTGCGATCTCTTGAAAACTTGAGTATATCCTACAACAACATCAAGTCACTGCCCAATTCAATAGGATATTTAGAAAACTTAAAAATGCTTGAACTAGACAACTGCGGTTTAGAGAAGAAAATGCCCYTGGCAATTTGCATGTTAAAAAGCTTACAGCTTCTTTCGCTTGCCAATAACAACCTTACAAAGTTGCCCCCAGTACTTCGAACAGCCCTTCCGAATCTCTCCTTCATCAACCTGGAAAACAACGTCAACTTAGTAATGCCACCGTTTTCTATCTCAAAGAGAGGTATCAAAGCGATATTCAACTTCATTGATGAAACGGAGAGCAAGAAAACCATYTATCACAAAGTTGTCCTTTTAGGAAATGTGAAAGCTGGTAAAACTAGCTTAGCAAAAACTATGATCCGCAGCAGATCCCATCTAAGTGAAGACGAAGATAGAACAGTAGTGCTAGACCGTATTTTGTGGACACCAGAAGAGAACCTGAGCCTTCAGGTTTATGACTTTGGGGGAAGTGAGTGGTACGGCGTTGCGCAACATTTCTTTCTTGAGAGAAATTCAATAGTTCTCCTGGTTGTAAACCTCAAAGATTACAGTGAGACAACGTACATTGATTGTGTTGAAAAATGGTTGAAGGTCATCCAGGCCAGAGCACCTGCTGCCAAGCTCTTCCTAGTAGCCACTCACATCGATCTTCTCTCGAAAGATGAAGTTAAAGTCAAGCAAGACAGCATTCTTAAATTAATGAGAGCACGAGAAAACTGTGAGATAGACCACGTCCACAAAGAGATCGCACGGTTACAGCAAGATCATGGAAAAGAAGCTGAAAACTCGGTTAACCGATTACAGACGTCTTTGAAAGATCGCCTCGAGCTGCCGGATAAAGTGTACACTGTTTCGTCCACAGAGAGCCTCCAAAATATTGACGAACTCAAGCAAGATCTTTTGAGAACAGCGAAATGTATTGGTGGCGATATCCCCACCGCCTGGCTTCGATTGTACGACGTGCTGCATAACTYAGAGCTTGCGAAGAAAAAAAATTTTCTGACGATACAAGAAGTCGCTAAGTTGGACAAGGAAGGCTATGAAAAGTTCCAAGCCAAACACATTCTCAGCCCAGACTTCTACCGGAAGCATCCCCCACTTCAGCAAAGCGTTTCCGTGAAAGTTAGACCAGTCAGCCGAGATACGACTCCACGTCGAAAGATTTCTGATCACACCAACCCACTAGGATCTCTCCCAACAGAAAATGATGAAAGGAGCATGCGCAGAATGCAAAGATTGGAAATGGTGGATGAAGCAAATAACGGGCACCAAACTCGGCTGTCCTCTGATGTACCCTCTGCTACAATGACAAGGATTTACGATGTCTTGTCATTTTTCCATAGTATTGGTGACGTCCTTTGGTATGAAGGGAATTCTCAAATTCGGAATTTTGTCTTTCACAAACAGTCGTTCATCATAGATTTAATGAAAGGCATTTTTTCTCGTGAATGTCTAGTAACTGATATCCCACAGCAGCTGCACATCAGTTTGACTCAAGCAATGTCCGACAAGTCCCTGCAAAGTGCTAAGGAGGATTTGAACTCCAAAGGGATTCTGTCTGTTGGTCTTCTTAAAGGGATGCTTGTCCATTTGAATCTCAAAGACAATCTGATCAATGCATTCATGCAACTTCTCATCCACTTTGGTTTGTGTTTCGCTGATGAGATTCAAGATGGTCGCCTTACTAAGCTTCATTTTCCATGGTTTCTAAGCGAGTCGCCGCCTTTGGAGTCATCTCATATGCTGGAAAAGCACCCACTGGAGAACTATTATCAATTTACTTTGGAATACGACTTCCCACTGGGTATTCCCAGAGCGCTCTTTGAAACCACATCGGTCCGAATCCACGGTATTATCCACGATAAAGTCAGCATTAAGCACTGGAAGAGTGGTGTTTATGCACGTCTTCATCACAGCAAAATCCTTCTTCACCGATCAAAAAGTCCACAATCTGAAACCATCAGTTTTTCCGTCAAGGGAAAAGATGTTGATGAGTTGTGGAGAATCCTTGAACAGTTGAATGCTCTGTTCAAACGACTATTAGCCAACTGGCCAGGTAGTCTGTTTGAGATGTGGTTAGTTTGTCCCCATTGTACTTGCAAAGGCGCCAAAAATCCAAATCGCTTTCAAGGAGAAAACATCGAGAGGTGTTGCCCACAAGATGAGGAGTACGTCACGTGTTACCGAGATGGCCAAAGTTACGATGTACCAGTTAACCTAGTTTATCCAGTTCTTGGTAAGTTAATATTCCTTGCATTATTTTAGTCAAAGGCCCACATTCAACCGGCATTCCATGCGGTCCTGTTTTATAGAATTTTCATATACGGAAAATGAGGTGAATTCAATTATCTGTTCACARTCGGTTTCCATCCGTCGTATTCATAAAATATAAAGGGGTGACTAAGTTTTTGTTTATATAACGAATTATTTTTATTTTCSTYTTTCGTTTTTACAGCTTCAGTTTATGACGTCTCAGAAAGTCAAATTCTTACAGTTGCCAAAATGATTACCAAGAACTGGCGCTCACTAGGGCGCTCACTGGGGCTAGACGAATACGAGCTAGAGCACATTGATTACGACAATCGAGACCTTCGCGWAAAGTCCGTCCAAATGATGCGACAGTGGCAAAGAACAAAGGGTAAAAAAGCCAATCTAAAAAAACTAATTTGGGCGTTGGAATCCATGGATCCACCGCAACTGCACATTCTCGATGAACTTAACATTTCTAGAGTGAGAGACGAAGATGACTTCCAGCCTGGCTCACCTCCAGATCTCTCTCTTCATAATAGAACTTTTTAAGTTTTTAAGAGCTGGAACTTGATCAAAATTGGAAAAAAATGTATATAGCTATTTCAGAAAACGTTGAATACTGTATACTCCATAATGCATTACAACACCGCAATGCATTGTTGCTATTAAATTTCAYGTTAGCTATGTTACAACAATACAATTCTAAAATTTTAAATTGCTTTCCATTGAAGTTTCTTGACCTTGCGGAGCCGGTATAGTCACTCTGAAACCAGGAAAACTCCTGTTGATCTGCRATAGAACATCCGACCATGCATTTCGGTTTTGGAATGCACTATCTTCAGTATTCAACGTATTCTGAAATAGCAATATGCATCTAGGAATAAAAGAAAAGGGCTAATTGTCTTTTTTTAATTATAGACATTTATTACACACTTAAATACACGCACATATCTAGCAAAGATAAATGTACATATTCACTGGCTAATGTATATTTATATATATATATAAATTGTTTACTTTACATGTAATGAGGAAACAATGCAGCTTGTAACATGAGATGGGAAGTATACATACATTTATATTAGAGTGGTGACCTGTGAATGTAACTACAAATGGACACAAAAGAAAGCAAACGCAATTAGAGTGTACTAGGATGTACTCAGTCGAATCAATAGTTTTTGCCATTACTCTATTGGAGGAGTTACCGTAAACCTGTGAAATACTTATGCTAGACTTATATAATTTTGCAATGCATTGTTGTCCTACTTGACGATCACACCTTTAGTGTTAGATTTTATTTCAAGGACTTAGCATGGCTTAAAGTGAGATCCATACACCCGTGAAACAAAAAAAGAAAAATGATGAGTTTGATGCCTTTTACTACCTAGCATTATAAGGCTACTGATCTCACCAAAGGTCTAGTTTTCATATAATCACTATGTAATAACTAAAAGAATAGTGAGTTAAAAAAACCCGTGAAATAAATAGCATGAACATGATCATTGCCATCTAAAAAGGTATATAATGTCTTTTTCTACGAAAAAATCCACGGATTCTCATGAAACGTTTCTTTCTCTTTTCGCCACCTTCCACCCGCTTGATAAGGTCAATTCTAGCAGCTGCCAGATGGGTTTCATTTTCAATCTCATCGCAAATTGCATTTCGTCGTTGTCCAAAGAATCTATTTTTCATTCGATCACCACCTAGCACTTTAACTGGCTTCGCGTTTTGGTTCTTTTGTAGCAATGAAATGACTGACGCTCTAACCCCACCCATTCTGCTTGTCACGTTGTCATGGCGCGCACCATATTCACTGCCTTCTCTATCATTCATCGGTCTTTTGGAAAACTCTGAGCTACTGAACACTTTTCGGCAATACATTAGTGGAAGTGATGTGGAGTGTTTTAGAGCTTTCTTTAGAGCATGTGGGGCGGATGGAKAGCGCTTTCCTTCAACCATTCCGATGATCTTTTCTTTGTGTCTGTGCTGAAGGGATGTCAGAACGTCAGGTAATGAGCTTGAATGACAAATGCTTTTCTTTTTAATATTCGYAACCGAGGGCAACTGGTTCATCTTTCCTTGAATGCTTTGGATAGTGGTGTTCTTCAGTGGTTGATAAACCTGGGCCAGGTTTACTTCTCGCTGTTCTGTGTTGGTTGTACTAGGAATAGAGTGGATGTTCCAAACACCATTCTTTCTACTACGCCTGTTTGTTAGCATTTCTTGAGCTATTTCCGGAACAGAAAGATCTGGACTTGATCCTGATGTCCCCATTCTGACAGCAGTGACTGATACGTGTTGACTCCTTGGCATTTCCTGGCGCATTAATGTTGGACCACAAASGTTAGGACTTGATATTGATGTCTTCTGTCTCGTGGTAGTGACTGACAGGTCTTTACTKTGTACACCGCGTTCCATGGTATTTCCTGGTTAACCGGGCTGTTTGACAAGAAAGTTCGCAAAGCTGTGGTACTGGTGACTGCGCTCTCTCAACAACAACTGATGGCTATTCATTCATTGCATTTCGCTCTTATTTCAATAAACAAATTTCAGACCGTTTAATTTGTTGGCTCCATGACGTCATGTGCCATAGAAGCCAATGACACCTGTGCGTCAATGAAAAAAACCGCATAGTTCAACAAAATATTTCCCTTATCAATTGTTTATCATTTAAAAGGGTTTAAAGGATCGATAATCRAACGAAACACATTTGCAGTAATTGTACTGTGAATTCCAGTATCTGGACGAAAGTCAGGTCGTAGTTACCATGGGACCCATAGTTCCCGTTGCTAATGATGACGCAGTTTGGTGAGAGTTCAGATTTTTAATTACTTAATTACTGTAATCAATGCGTGAACAATATTGATTCCATGGCAACTAGCTGTTAAATATTTATATCTTTGACGTACGTATTAACAGTTTAACTATAACCAAGAATAGATTTAACGCAAAGTCATTTGTCAGTGACGATCAACTAGCTATTGTCCAGGAACTAATTACTGGTTTGGTTCGCTGTCATGGTAACAAATTAACAAACTGTTTTTATCTTGACGTTTGTGAGCAAGTTAAAAAACAACCAGGAATAGAATTAACGCAAACCTAAACGTCAATCATAACGAACTAGATGACTGTCCAATAGGATAGCAAGTCAGTGTGAACACCGCATAACGTAGAGCCGTATAATGGCCCAATCATTACTAGTTGTATACTTGTAAGGGTGAAGATACAGATACCAGGTTATTCGTCTGGTTTTCGTTTCTCGTGACCATCATTCTCTAATAATAGGTCATTGTCGAGGAACTAACTTTTTCTGTCGTTCACTCCTAAATTCAATTCATGCTACCCACAGAAACCGAGKGATTTTAGTAGAACGAGGATATCCTGTGAACAGTTTCTATTTTAGCGGAGGGGATGGACACATAAGATAAAGAAATCTTCCGATAGCATTGTGTTTTTACAAAACAATCTCGTGGAGTTATCAGATCTTCTCCCGCATTTTTGAAACAGTGGAAAAACTAGAGATCTCAGGGATTAGGGGGTCGTAGCCCGTGGTCCAAGATTGACATCTGGAATCGGCTTTTGCCGCCGTGTTTAGATTAACTTTTGATTGACGGGCCTAGAACTTTTGGTCAAATGACCGCTGTTACTTTACGAGCCTGCATGCGCAATGCAGCAAGTTGTAAGGAAATACATTTATACAATACAAAATTGCACCGACCAAAAGTCAACCACTGTGAATGASCCTAAAAGAGACCTAGCCCATGAAATCATAACATCCTACATTTGTTTTGTTTTGTTTTTTGATTCCATTCCCTAAATACGAACATACTTCAGTCTGTGTTACACTATAGAAGCCATCGCAAATGGATGTAAAATGTTTCGTCGCTAGAGTTCAAACCGATCATTTTTTCAATTCTTTAATTCTTATTTAAAGTTTAATACTGTTTTTCGGCACACATCTATACAACACCGTCGCCGGATTTGGCTGTTGTCTTCCCATAACACTTTTCCGTATCGAAAGTAAACTCATCTGGAGGTTTTTCAATTTAGTTTGTAAACAGAATGTTCAACAATTCAACTAGTTTGCACTTAAAGCTCTAAATATTTACAATTTGTAGTGTATATCTTTCAAAGACCGTGAGAAAAGAACCAAATTGACACTCGAAAAAGGAAGGTTTTGACAAGCTATTATATTATAGCTTTATTAGACACTTTAGGCACTTTCAGCAATAAATAGTTCGGTTTTTAGCTTCTAGATGCCTATCTTCTAAAAAGAAAAGAAGTAAATTAGGCTCATTTGACAATTGAATAGCTAGTTAGTTCAGTTTAACGAACTATATTCAAACACAAACTATACGTGTTACAAAAACTGGAACCATAGAACTGAAGACTTTCGTTGATTTATTTTTATCCAGTGGGGAAAATCTACTAAAATGGCTTGTCTGTGGCTGGTTGTACTCGCGATACTGACCATTAAATGTGAAGGTAGCATTAGTAGATACAAAATATACTGCAAATATCCGAGAAAGAACTAATCAAATTGAGCTAATGCTAAAAAATGCTGAGATTTAGAGCTAAATCACCTTTATAAATAGGTCGAATCTTTAAAATATTACCTTTTGATAAAATGTGATCATGATACAGTGGGAATCAGTCGATTTCATATGTAGCTATAAAAAGTAGAGTATACTGGCCACTGTATAGTACATGATGCCTTAATTTGTATTTTATTTTCGAACAGGGAAATTTCAAAGAGACAGGCTAGAAGGTAACTTTTTAATTGAGTTTAAATCTATATCAATAGAATATAGTATCAAAAATATAATAATGTATGGTCTCTTTATACAATGGATCAGTTAAATTTGGTACATGGGACCGATTTCCACTTACTTCAACTGAAGCCAAAAAGCAAGGTTGGAAGATCGATGCAAGCTGTAAAGGTACGAGAGTTACAGTGAACGCGAATTGAGTTGAATTATAAATTATTCCAAACGTCCTCCGACCATGTGTGTTTTACTCACTTTTCTGTTAATTTTGTTATGTTTTGCGTGAAGCTCTTCGTTTGTTATCAATAGTAGCTAATAGTAAATCACTGCAACCATGGGGAGAAAAACTCTGGATTCTGAATATAAGTCTGAGGCGTCAACCATATAACTTCGCATATCTTTACCCATGCATTGAAATGTTTTAATTTCAAATACATTTTTTTCAGACCCTAAAGCCAACTTTTTCAAAGGTTTTCGTTATGTAAAGGATAATGATAAAACCACGCGAATTCTATACGACTGTCATGGACGCATTGCTGGGATACAAGCAACGGTAATAGGAATTTAACTTCATTTTGTGTAACATGTGTTGTACTCAATACATCTAATTAAGAAACTGGAATAATGACCGAAAATATTCGCTGTATCCATCCATATTTATTGCCTTTCTCTTATATAAGTTTTTTCTCTTTTTATATTTTCTAGTAAAGTTCCCTCATAATTTGTCTTTAACCGTATACTTTACATAATAAATTTTTTAATAAATAAATATCAGGGGGAGCCGACGGGGTCTGTTCTTCTAAATAACTGTTCTTGTACCAATTTTTTCCTGGGAAAATGATTTTTAGCTAGCCAAATTGTTGACAACCTTACAAGTGAAATGTGGCGCCCTTCCTTCTTTAAAATAATTTTCCTCCTTGCAAATGTTTTTAAGGTCAAAAAAGGCTTATATAACGTTTTTATGGTCAAAAACAGCTTATATTTTTTTAGTTAGGAAATGTTTATTTTCCTGGCAAAAGTTCTTAAAAAGTATTCCTTGCCTGGAGATTCCCTTTTTCCTGAATTTCTCGCTGGCAACCAGTTGTGACTTACAGCTGGCTGGGACATAAGAACAGATATATTTCCCAGCAACCCGTCGTCTCCTCCTAAAATATATTATAGAAACGTTTATTCTAACATCGTATTTTGTACAGTTAATCCCTCCATCTTCATACCCAACAAAGTTCAACTCTGCCCCTTGGGTGAAAAATCMAGATGGGAGCATCAGTGCTACAGCGTATTTTCGTGACCCTAAAAAGATTTGCAACTGTAAAAAGTGCASTCCTRGACCACAAGGACTGTTAGTTGGCGATCGTATTTGGATCCAAGAGGGAGATGTTAAAGATGAGAAATTCTTTGAGTTACCAATCCATTCTAAGGATATGAAAAAYACACCTTGGGTAGAAGGGAACTGTTTTACATATATGGGTGAGTTTGTTGAGAAACTAGTGGCAAAAAGTCTTCGGAAACTGCTATCTACTGCACAGCTAGTGTGGTCAACACAGTTATTCTCTCATGTTCAAAAAATTACTTGAGGAATTAAAATTGCAGATCAACCAGCATGAGATTCTTAGCTTAAATTAAGTCTTTTGTATGGTGAATTCTGAGAGACTTAGTTATTTTGCTTAAATAATCCTCAAACAGAAAAATTATTTGAGCCCTCCCTCCTACCTGCCCTTCTGTATCTTATCAATCATATCCTTCTTTTCGTCATAATTTGTCTTTTTTCTCCTTTTTGTTATTGCCTTTCAGGTGTCCATCACCATTATAACGTTTCCAAGTCTTTTGACTGTGACTATGCTAAGCCAGTGTTCCTGATTTCGAGCAAGAAAACTGGCGATGTCCATGGTTTTGGATGGGGAGTACCATTCCTTGTCAGCAGTGAAAGATGGGAAAAACCACGCCCCTCATTGTTTGCGGTCAGTTGTATTCTTAAWATTATCATATAATTTATTATATATTTGAGTGAATTTGTTGTTGCTGTTGTTGTTGCTTCCTTTCATGTYGTATTGGCTCATAAAAGTTTCACCAATCTAGAAGTGTCTTTGTTTGATTTCAAAAGTGAGGTTTTGAAAGCTACATTTCACTGAATACTTCTGATGGTTGTGAATCTAGGAGGATGACATTTGTGGTACTTTCACCCCTTAGATCTACCAAAATAGAGACCAATTAAGCACACACCCCCACCCCCTCCCCCCTTGAGTCTTATTCAGAACGCTTGTAACTGGTATTATGAAAGAGTCTCCATGCCATGTTATATTCATTTTCCCATTCATAATAAATCTCAAATGAGTTGTATTCTGCTATCTTTCAGAGATCAGTCAAGGCAGAGAACCTGCCACAGTGTCTAAGCGACTATAAAGTTGTGTCTGTTCAACACATTTACTTTGTAGAAGCCAGAAAAATATTTTGTTGAAATKATGAATAAACTTAACTAAATCAAACTTGGGAGTTGTAAACTTTTARGTGTAAGATCCCTTGTTGATTAAAAATATATCTATTACCTCAAGTTTSATGATGTCTTCAATATTTTCAGGCTTTTTAAAAATAACTTCCAGATATTGTTGTCAATGAGCGCATCACGCATCGTGTTGCCATGTTTGTTATCTTAGAAACCTGGTCTGCTTTTCGTAAATGAGGGCGTTTTCCCCTCCTCCCCCTCCCCGAATATTTTATATCGACGCCAAAAAATTGAAAAAGATAGAGTAAAAAATAAATTRAGATTATGCAAAGGAGATGACGCAATCATGTAAACAGCGAAATGAGTGTTAGCAGACCTAAGAATGATATATAAATGCCGAGTGAAACAGATGGGAATTGTTTTTGCAACCTCGTCCCCAGGGCCATCTCGGCCGACTCCTTTTCAAGATGGCGGTCGTCGGGAGCAACCTCGTCCCCAGGGCCATCTCGGCCGACTCCTTTTCAAGATGGCGGTCGTCGGGGAGATGACCCTGGCGTTGGCTGGAATCACGTGATCAAAACCTCCAAGATTTTTGGAGGTTTTGATCACGTGGCTTATCTATTTAAAATGGCGCTCGAAACGTGAACTCAACGGTTTCACAAACTGGGATAGCTGTGGTGGGTCGGTATTTGCTTTGTTTTGATGATTTATTTGAAAAATGTCCTTCCGTCCTGCCGTCATCGGCAGTGTTGACCCCTAGACCGCCTACTAGTCTATACGGGAGTAGATCCAGTTCATTCTAGAATTCTTGAGGGATCCGCTCACTGCAGAAATCGGCGAGTAGAAGACTTCTATAACATCGAATGCTATCGCTAAATATATCCGTCAAGTTAAATTTCTTACACGAGTAGTTGGCATCTCAAAACCACGCATTGGACAAGAGAGACATAAGAGGACAACTGACAAGAATTCCAAAGAATATCGTTGCTTTTTAATCGACAAAACGTACCTTAATTAAATTTCGGGAATATTTGAATAAAAACAATGAACGCATCGTAACGGTTAAATCAATAACCGATCAAAGACCTAACGGTTATCCGGACATACCGACAGTGTCGAACACATCCCGACCTTAAGACGACCATAGACGAACATAAACAGCCAATAATGAGTGATATAAGAAAAGGCATTTTGAATAGCCAATCAGAAAGTGGCTTAGTTCAGCCAACGCCAGGGTCATCTCCCCGACGACCGCCATCTTGAAAAGGAGTCGGCCGAGATGGCCCTGGGGACGAGGTTGTTGTTTTTGTTATTGGGCTTCCTTTGGAGGTCCCAGTCCTACTCATTCCAAAACATTCAAGATGGCGGATGGAAAAGATGGATAATCTTCAAGAAAGTCAGGATTTAACCAGCCAGCATCCACAAAAATTATTATTTCCTATTTCAAGATATACTAAGTCAAGTACAGAAACCTCTTTTCAGACAGGCAGGCTTTTTCCCTGTATTGCCTCTCTGGAACAAGGCGAGGAAGCAAGCGAAGGTGAGTCAACGTCGAATTGTCGTCTTAGCTAAATATTATTAAAGACTAACATGTGAACGAACTGTGTTRCTGTTGTAGAATCATTGTCATACACTGAGCTAAAAGTGCCTTTTGTTTCATGTTGTCTGATAGTCTATTATAAATTGTATTAAACGACATTTGCATTTCCTTAAAACGTACATTTAATCTTAGGTTCATTTTGTTCACCTTATAGTTGCAAATCTCGACTGGCTTACAAATAAAAGCTATCAAGTGAGTAAGAGCAAGCTCTCTGTAGATGCTGGTGACGAAAGAGACGTAACAACTAATGACAGCCTTGYCAGTAGTGAAAGCGATGAGAGAGGTCACAAAAATCAAAAACATCACAAAAAGAGAAAATGGTCCGACTCAGAAAGCTCCAATGAAAACAGAAACAAACCTAAGCATAAAAAGAAAGAAAAGAAGAAAAAGAAAAAGCATAAAAGAAAGGAATTGAAACAGCATGTTTTAAAAGCACATGACAAAGTAAATAAGCCAGATACCATTTGGATTGAAGAGTCTGGATTACAACCTGAAGAAGCATATCGAATACACTGTAARAAAGATATAGAGAATCTTCAGTATGGCTCAATTTATCGACTTGATGTTGCCACTTATAAAATCAAATCAAATTTAGTCTGCTTGGGCTTAGGAAAGAACCAGTCACTTTTATTGAATGAAACGAAAAAGAAGAAAAAGAAAGAGAAAAAAGAAAAAGATTTAAGGTACTGGAGCGATTCTACACTTTTTACRGAAGAACCTAAAAAACTATTTCCTTCAAAGGTAGCATCTAAATCATTTGTTGGTAATATTGAAAACTTTTCTTATGTCCCTGTGGACCTTCCAAGTAAACAGGAAGATGACAATGATGAAGATGATGATAGCATAGATAATGATGGTAATATTGATCCTTCTGAAAGAATTATCATCARAGAAACTGCAAAGTTCAATAAGATACTCAGAGAAAACCCTCATGATGTGAAAACCTGGATAGACTTAGCAAATTTCCAGACCAAAGTTGTAAACAAAAAAGACTCAAACACYGCTGCTGGCAATGAAAGGAATAAAAAGCGCTCAAAAGTCATMAATGAGAAGCAGATATCTGTTGTTGAGAAGGCCCTAGAGCAAAACCCATCCTCTGTGGAATTAATAATTTATCATTTAAATTTATGTAAAGATGTGTGGGATGATGACAAACTCGTTGAGAGATGGAAAAGGGTAGTCTTTTCACATCCAAACAAGACAATACTTTGGAGAAAGTACCTGTTATTTCTTCAGTCTAGAGTTTCAATTTTCACAGTTAGGAAGGTGCAGAGAGCTTACGAAAAGTGTTTTGCCATGCTKTTGTCCATCAAAGAAGGCACATTTGTATCTCATCAAGCTGAGGCGAATCTTGAGGAAGACATGCTTGACCTGTTTGTGCAATATTGCAAGTTTTTAAAGCAATCAGGTACATGTATTGAAAGTTGCAAAATTACATGAGTTGACTGTCATTCTTCTCTTTGTCTGTTTTTCTGTCTGTCTGTCTGTCTGTCTGTCTGTCTATCTGAAATCTTTTTATTTTAACCAGGTCACACAGAAAAATGTGTTGCCAGTTTCCAAGCAATGATAGAGCTTAATTGCCTTTGCCCTGAAGACCTGAGCAACAGTACAACATCAGGATCAATGGAGTTCTTGGAGACATTTTGGGATAGTGGACAACCAAGGTAAAGAATTACTACAGCTGTGTTACATCTTATTTTCTCATAATAGTATACTATTCAATTTATTTAAAATATTGTGCTTACCTAAGGTTTGGTGAGGATGGAGCAATTGGCTGGAAGAMTTGGATGGATAAGACTCAACCTTCTAAAAACCCACTAGCTCCTGTAACTCTTGACTTCAAAAAGATCTTTAAGTCTTGTACTTCCGGCAATGAYGSAGAGCACAATGAGTCCAGTGAARATGARCTAATCAAAGGAAAACCAAAGTGGAAGGCMTGGCTTAATGTCGAAGTCAACAGAGAGATGGCACAGCTGAAACCATGGCAACCAGATCATGCAAAGGGGGAAACTGAGGAGGACTGTGAGGATCCTGAGAGGATAGTTCTTTTTGAYGACATTAAATGTTGTCTCTTTAAGATCARTGATACTCTTAGTAAAGTCAAACTTGTGATGTCTTTTTTGGARTCTCTTGGTGTTACTTTGAGCCCAATGTTGTCAAGCAATGACCTTGGTACTTTGAGGTAGATTWATAGCATATTTTACAATTATTATAATGTTATGATTATTATTACTGGTACTTCTGGAAGCATTTCAAATCAGTCAACACAAGTTTAGTGCTTGTATTTTGATCATTTTCAAGTGACTGTACCTGAATCTTCAATTTAACATCAGAAACAGTTGATTTGATAAAACTTCACAWTTTTTGTCAGTCTATTGTTTCTTCCTGCAATTTTCATTTCCGTCTCCATGGCAGCAATAATTAGCAATAATAATTTTGCAGCAATGTCCAAAAAGGACATTTTTGAGTTCATTTTGAATTATATTAATTTTCCAATAATTATTTCACCCACAGGTATTTTGAACTCTCACTGGAATCCATAGAACAGATTCTAAGTCCATCTGACTGTAGCACTAGTAGCATYGGTTGGCAAAAATCTGGACATTGGTACAGAACTGAAGCATTAACACCTAACAAACCTTCAGTTGAGGCATTACATCTAATACGAAGTGTATTTGCTCAATCAATGGCTTTRTTTGAAAGTAAAAACAARAACCAATTCATTGTAGCCTGGYTGTATTATGAGTTTTACTTRTCCAAACTGGAAAAACCAGGMAAGGCCAGGAAACAGAAGATCAAAGAGGTTTACAAGCTGGCAAAAGCTGTCTTAAAAGAACCAAGTAATAGGTAATAAAATATGTATGATAGAAGTTGTAGCTGCAGTAGTTTTAACTTTGTATTTCTGCTGAGATATTAATAAACTTGCATTGTTTTTCCAYCAGGAACAATTTCCAGATCTGGGAAGTGTTTGCCAAAATTACATCMTTTTCCGGGGATGYTTCAGAGAGTCGYCATGTGTTTGACTCAACTTTGTCAATGGCCAGCCAGTTACAAGTCAGTGGAAAAGATAAAATGATGTCTTTAGTGCTACTTTACAGGTGATTAATGAAATTCTGATGTCCATTCATCTCTATTTGTGATAATTAATAACAGGCATTCTCTAATGAATTCTGTTTTTATAAATCTTGATACACCTAGTACATTATTTTGTTATCACTAAAAACATTAGAGATATAGGAAAGTAAGAGTTAAGTGGTTAAATCTTTCATTAGAGAGGTTTAGCATGACGTTCACGGCAAACGCCGAACGGCAGAAAAGATCACGTGACGTGCTTTTTTTGAGTTTAACGTTGCAGTTTCAACGTGAGAGCGGGTTATTTTGGGGTTGCCATAATCGTGAAAAGTCGCTCTTTCAAATGAATACCAAAAGCACAAGGTTGGACACGAAATTCTTAGGTCATTGGTTCAGCTCTGCCGTTAGCCGTTTGCCGTCAACGTGATGCTAAAACTTTCTATTGTAAAACTGTAATATTTTGTGTATTTTTACTAACGGCGATCATAATACCCATTGGGTCATGTGTGAATGTGTTCGGTAAGGGTCTTTTTTCAGTCTTTTTATTAAAATGAGTGAAAGCCGACCCATACATTGTATCTCCCAGAATACCTTTTTAAGTATCCAATTTACTATATATATCTCATTGCATTGATGACAATTTTCTTAATTAAAGATCATATGCTGAAATGGAGCTGAAGCACCTACTGGATACCACCACAGGAACCCCATCAAACCATTTTGAGACCACCACAGCAATCCCATCAAACCAAAGCCAAAGAGAAGGATCCACCTCAGGAAACCCACCAGACAGCACCAGGACTCTTCACATTCTTGTGAGCTTTGCTGATAATAGCCCATACAAGCCMCTCACAGAAATGGGCCAGTCAGTGTCTCCTGCAATTATTCTCAGAGCCAAGAAAACCTATGCTCAAATTTGTGAGGAATCCATTGATCAGTTAAAGGAGCTGACTTCAGAAGGGAAAGATGAATGCTTGGCAAGAGTCCATTGTATTGCTTGCTGTGCCATGTTTRCATATGTAACATCAGGTATTGAATGCTTAGAAAATAGTGCAAAAAGAGARAGAAAATTAATACTAATCAAGGGAGGAAATATGCTGTTTATGATATTTTTTGACACATTTTAAAAGCATGAGTGATCCCTACAAGTAATTTTGAAAATATACAATATTGTATTTATTACTTTGCGATGATAAGATTGCTAGAATCATTCATTGATCTCACGTCGTTGTATGATTACCAGGTATCAATGCTGCAGTTGATGTTTACAAGGATGTACTGTCATCACTATCATCCACTGTTGATGCCTTTCATCATGAAATATTGTTGACTGATTATATCAATCTAGTCAAGATGCACACAAAACAAGAGACAATGCCTCTGAAGAATATCAAAGCTGTCATTCATAGGTGCATTAATGTTTTTTTATATACACTTATGTTATTTGTTATGGCTTAAAATAGGTAATGCCAGTCAGCACTGAAATAGCATCATATGAAAATTTTAAACTTTTATTTTCTAGACAATTTGCTTGATATATGAGGACTTTTGTAGTTTGATTGGGTCCTTATTCAAACTAGTATTTACACATCCAGGCATTTTTATGCATANGCTACTAGTCCACTTCCATGGGTTTTTGCTATTTGTTATGAAGATATTAGAGCAAAAGCCATGTTGACTGCTAGAGATTGCAATGAGTATGTAAACTACATCAAAGACAAACAACTAATGGATGGAAAGACAAGAGTTAATGTAGGTGGCAGTCAGTCAGTGGATGTTGTCATGGGCAGACAGACTGTAGTTGCTTCCACTAGCAGATCCTTAACAGACAATGACAAAGGGAGACAGTCAGTTGCTGCCATGGACAGACAGCCATTGTGYGTCACMTCTCTTCCTACAACAGGCATCAGTCACAGGCAAAGGGCATTGTTTGATAGAGCAACATCTAGTGTCRTTGGACGACAGTGCATTGCATTGTGGAGGATGTACATTGAATTTGAGGTACCAAATRTTCTTACTAAAATATAAGAAAGTGTAATAATTATTTTTGGTAGTTCGCTTATAGATAAACAGGATTTGTATGGTAGCATCAGTCACCAAACTTGACTGTTAGCAAGTTCAAATGAGTGAAAAATGATTATGGAATCAAATTTTTTCCCTCATACATGTGCCTATAAAATATAAATTTTGTCTTTTCTTGTTTTTAGATAAACCATGGAAACTATGAACAAGCCAAATCTGTGYTTTACCAAGCATTGCAGAATTGTGCCTGGGCAAAGGTACACTGTTATATAGCTATTTCAAAAAAGGTTGTCGGATAAAATGGCAAATGGCAATTCTCAAACGGCCATTGCATGACCGAAAGGAGCCATGGGCTTTGCTAATGGATGGGAAATGATAACTGATTTTCACCGATTTTCATTGATTTTCTGGCTCTGTTTAGTCTCCATTTTCACCCAAGTAAACCAAACAATCCCAAACAATTGAATTTTTCCAAAAGATATGTGCTCCCAAGCCAATTATATAATAATGGTAATGGTGATGATAAGTCATCATCATCAACTTAATCATAAAAAAATGAATTAAAAAGTATTTAATGGTGATATTGACAACAGAGTCAGTAATATCATTAATATTTGAATCTGAATAAACAAAGCTAAAAAATATTTTCATTGTTTCCTTTTAGTGTCTATATCTTGATGCAGTCAGGGATTTCCCTGATGACCTTCAGCGTATATTAGACATGATGACGGAGATGGAGATGAGAGTGAGAACGCCACTAGAAGAGATTGACATCCTCATAGAAGGATAGCAAGAGCAGATCTTCGGGGGGAGGGTGGGGTGTAATTAGGACAGCTATTAAGTAAACTAATACAAAGAAAAAATACATCTCACTGCAAGGTAGGCTCAGTCTCCCAGCCGTGGGAGAGAGTATCGCGGGCGCACGAAATCCCGACGGCTGGAGACTGAGCCTAACTGCAAGGCAGATGAGAAAAAAAATGCAGTGTTAATCTTAATTCAGTGCTATMCCTTTTGGATAATCATATAAATTTAACAATTGATTTATAAAGTAGCTTTTATTTTTTCTTGCTAGTAGTAGGTATAGTGTAAAAACACATGAAATCTCTAATTGTTTACATTTTAAATGGTGTTGAATATCGCCATCTTTATCTTTGTTTATATACAAAATATATTCATTGTTACAWGCATAAAAGGATTACCAAGAAACTTAGAGTATTTATACTATTTCCTAAATACATAATATTGTAAGTTTTTATAACCACTTCATTCCATAATATTTTCCATTCAAAATGGTATGAATAATAATTCATGTCATGAAAATGGTTGACAATCTCAATAAAAGTGCTGCAAATTGAATCAACAATTGAAAGTTTGAAAGCCAAGTGACGACAATAGCTCACATATCATATATGAATGAACTAACCAAGTACAAAAGAGAAAACAAGTTTAAGATAAGACAAAATTTTGTTTTTGTTTCCCCAGAGGYTTGTATTGCACTAGTCTATTCTTCTCAAACTTCAAAGTGCTGACTTGCTACTCCCAACACAAAATAAATGCATAACTAACTAGTAGCATAATTATATACATCTAGASTCAAAAACCAGTCAATATTGTTAAAATTGATATTTTCAACCGGACAACATTTTTCAAAACGTGCAGAACATTACACATCATTGTGACCATCGTTATCATTAATTTCATGTTTGGGCGAAGCATCATTCATAGACGACTCATTAATAACATTGTGRACCTCATCAGGGGTCTGAGTCCCACTGCTCTCAGTCACTACATTTTGGCCATGATAATTTGACGTCATTTCATTCTGTACATGCAGCGACAATGTCCCTGTTAGTGCCTGTGAGACTTCAGATCCGTCATTTTGTAGGTGGTTCTGTACAGTTGATTGGTCGTTTTCACCAAGCTGTGACACTAGTCCTGATGACGGGCCAGCGTAGTACATCACTGGAATTTGTCCACCAGCTTGAGTTGTYAGCATCATTGACGATGGTACCACGCCCGCTAGAGATACCACTTGGGTACCCTCGGCCTGATGTGTTGCTATGGGAACCATTARAGTCCCCAGTGACTGGATGTTGGTAGTTGCTCCTGTTGACTGGTCAACAGCTTGCTCTTGTGTATTTTGAATTTGACCATCACTTCCTATCTGGACTGTAGTGATGGTGGATGTTGAGTGACCTTGGCTGGCGGTTGTTTGCTGGCCTCGTTGAAGCTGTACTTGATGGGCTAACAACTGTAGTTAAAAAAATAATTTATAATTTAGAGTTTAATAATCAATCAGCAATAGAAATTYAAAAGATTGAAGTGACAAAAAATTCTCAGATGAAAATAATTTTGTAAAATAATGGATTGATAACTTTTGTGTAGTGATTGAGACTAGCTTTTTATAATGGTGAAGTCGACCTTTTTAAATTTATTTCCTGCAATCTTTCCACAGCTTAATGGGGTTTCAAATATTGTGGATTTTATAAGAGGAATATGACAAAAATATGTGGTGATATTTGATCAAAGTTGTAACTGAGAACTGGGATATATAGAGACTCAGGTTTTCCWACAAAGAGTTAACAACTTCAGATAACCATMTGAAATGCCTGACCTGTACTCCATGCTGCTGATTCCCTTGACCAGACTGAGGTATTTGTACTGACGATCCTCCRATGTTAGAYCCAGGAGTGAATATWGTTGTGAAAGCCCCACCAGGCATAGTTTGAACAGAGTATGATGAAGCATTGGTGGATGATTTGCTTGACTGTTGCTGGGGAATRTAGGTAGTTATAGGAAATGAATGTCCTGATGCTGACATGGCTGTTATTCCTGTCATTGTGTTGGCTAAACCAAGTTGGTGTCCACTGTCGATTTGCTGTGTGGTGTAAATACCACCTCTGTCCTGAATAATAATTATCAATAGATCATCAGTAACTTTAATAGGAAAGATATTTTACATATAGGTCTGAGCAATAGCTATTGAGATTTGAGGGAATTGTTCATTATACATATGTTGCTACATTTTGGGCTGTATCTCCCAGTCTCATTAATTTTTTAACTTAAAATCTCCTTGACTTTCAAAAAAAATTGTAAAATTCTCATACTCTTTAGGTATATTAACCAAAAATTGGGACCTGATCTGTGCATGAATTACCAAAGTGAAATATTTATGGCCTGTGAAAGTTTTTAATTTATTCTAGTATAATATATTGTCCAAGTGCCTCATAATTAAATGCTGCTGAACACAATAAATCTTCTTGAAAGGAATGTAAAAGTTTCTCCACAATTTATGATAATTATGGAAATTAAGATATTATTTTGCTGGTCGATTTCTACACAAAGACTTCATTGGATGCAAACAGTAGGTTCTTTTCGATTATTGTGACCTCGATCAAAGCCATTCAACATTGTAAATTTCAGTTTTGAAATCGGCAACACTACAGCGAAGTTCATTTTTCACAATGAGGACTTCTACAGTATCGTATTTTMATCCAAAAGTGTGTGATATCTGTGTTGTTTATCCAGCCGCCCATATTTGTCAAGAATTATTGAATCTCGCGTACCAAAAATAGTCAGGKTCCCCTTATATGGATGGAATGTGGCAAAGGATACCGAGTTTGAAATTCGAAAAGAGTCAGACCGATAGATGAAAACGTTTGGAAGGATGTTTTGAAGCAATTCCTTTGCTATTATCAAAGAATTACAGCTTTTAATGTGGATTTACGACAAAATATCTTGGGGCAAGCGTACGGAAGGTTAAAATGGCGTACGYGATCGCGACAGGAGCTCAAATAGAGGGCGAAAAATCGAAAGATTGTCRCAACACTCGGTTTGATTTAGCTTGGAGCTTTTCACAAATGTGTACAAACTTAGTTCAAGTCTGTTTCTCAAATGACAACAGCCTTTTTGGGAGCAATTTGAGGATTAACTGAGTTTGACAAGGCCTTGTTCGCGAAGAATGCGAAGCATACTCGCTCGTACCTTTTCTCCGTCGTTCTCGCTCACAGTGTAAGTTAAATCCGTTTCCTCGTAGCCTGTTGCCGACATTCTCTGGTCTGGATTTGGTATTTGAGAAACTGGAGGATCAGGAGAATTTAAGCACGTTTGAATTAATGCTTTWCCACTCTCTGATGTGATCATTGGTTGGAGTTTGCGAGTTGCAAACGTGTAGACATGGCCAGTTTCGGAAGCTACAAGAAGCATAACTTGAGTTCCTGTTAACGTGCTGAGTTCGTAGGCCTGTGGAAATATTTTATGATTAGTAAAAACAATAATAACAAAGTAAAATAGAGAAGAATATGGAATATTTCTTTAAAAAAAAAGACAAATCTCGTACCTTTTTCATTATTCCTGTTTTTCTCTTGCTGAAAGTCGTGTATCTCCGAAGTTTATTTGAGATAAACTTCATGTCGATYTTGACCCTTCCTCGGGTTTTCTTGGCAGGTTTAGTTATAGTTTCTGCTGGTGTTCCAGTGGAATCATCGTCTTCGTCGTCATTTGGTAGAGGCCTTTTTAACTCACCCATTTCGTTCTGTCCAAAGACGCGATTTTGCTCTGAAAGTCCACTTCCTAGTACAACTTGAGAAGGGTTTGAATATTGCAAGTTTTCCAGTGATTCTGCAGTGTTGTTACTCTCCTCGCTCTGCATGTTGTTTGTGCTGTATATGGAATAGTACTATTGCCTTTTATGGAGTCACAGCACGGTTATGAAGCTCGCCTTTTTAGGTTGTACTCTTCGCACCAAATAAAGCAATATCGAGCCCAATATGGCGGTCCTCTGATGMTGTGCCCCGTGACCCGTGACGTCACGGGCACTCCTTCGTCGGCACTGATTGGTCAGTTGGCTTTACGTTCCGGGTGAATTAAAAATAAATGCACTGTTTTATATTCAGGCATAACATTTTTTGATTAAACATTTGTTAATTGRTTTATTATCTAATCTAGTGAATGTTCTTTTATAGAGCATTAATCAACATGTTCGTGAAACTTTGGACGCTGGTTCAAAGGTTGGGACTATTTGGAGGAAGTAGGTTTGGCAACCTATGATGCCATGCACATCAGCACTGATAATAAAAAAATAATTACTATACTTGATTGTTTTATTGCATTTTATTATTCGTTTTGAGCCCAAGCGCCGAACAAAGTTTCGCAATAATGAATTTTTATTGTTTTTCATTTCTTTTCAACTGATTTACAGAGTGATTTAAGAGTCTGGCAGCCACTCTGGCTTCCGTGTACTTTAACTCGCGTGCTCGGATGAGCATCCACTATCCTTATTAGAAATAGTGCTGTCATTCAAATCGCGCGACTGGCGGCGTTGAAAATGAGACAATGTACTACTTGATTGATATCTATAGCATCAAAATATTGAGCTTTTCGCTTCTTCCTGTGATTTTAATTTTATATCATGAAATAGAGTTTTTGCAGACGCGCTGCTTGAGTCGTAGTCATCCATCGTCAAGACACCAATATCAGTTATCTTAATTGCATGTAATTGTTATCAGGATTAGAGGTTAAGTGTTTTTATTGCTTCTAATGGCCATTAATCGATCATTTAATATGCAGTACTTTCAATTTCACCTAAGTAATTTTCGGGGGATACAGGGTATTTTGCTGGCAGGCCAGTAATGGAATAGTTCAGAGCCCATGTAGAGCGACTTCATATCGTACAGCAAAGCATGATGGGAGTTGTAACCGTCACACTTTTTATAACCCCCATAAAATCTCCCTAAAAGCAGTTTTTATGTCTTCTTCTCGGGTTAGGAAAGCTATTTTAGCGGATATAAAAAAAAATAACGAGTACTTCCATCTTATCATGCTCTGTACAAAATGGCGTCGTTAAACATTTATTATTCGCCAACATTACTATTGAACATCACAAGCCTTTGAGTCTTCACAGCTGAGCTATTTTCCCACGGCATTTCACGCGAAAGAAATTCGCGCTTTTCACGAGTGCTTATTAGATACTCTAGTCTTTCTTTAAGTCACCAATGCAAGCGAACAAAAGTGTTCGAACTCAAATTACACGAGTAATGTTGATTATACTATCTTTCCTGATGATGGTCAGCATATATGGTAGTAATCCTGACCTTATATAAACTAAGGTGCCTATATATAAACTAAGCCTATAAGAGCAATATCACATTGCAATTACCAATTGGTCATTAGTTCCGCTTACTAACCAAAGTACTATATGACGTCACRGACGTCGACTGTCAACGATCATAACTCAACTGAATATTCAATCCATGCAGCCCGTCACAGAGACGCGCTTAAATAATTGATTAATGATAAAACTGATGTACATCGTTTTCTTTCGGCATTGCTGATTTGAAACATATTTTGGTATATATGTACTCCAGCAAGCTCAGACGAATGGAGGGGTCCACTATCACATAATCTCGTACCCAGATCCTGCACTTCTGCCAGCCAACTGACCGTTAACACCAGCCGTGAAGACTCTACTGGGCTCGAGATTGGAGTACTGCAGTCGACCATCATACCTGGTGGGCGTGCTAACATCAACCCCATCATGCCCCAGCCTCGACTAGCATTTACATTTAATAAAATTGTGGAAAGCTCTCRTAATAACAAGCAACAATTGTTTTAATTCGATGTTTGAACATGTATGATAATCGATGATAGTTGACACAACAATGTCAATATTCCTACTTAATTCAATATAATCTTGACCGTGGACCAGGAAAAAAACAATGTAGCATTTTTTGTTTGTTTCTTTTTGAAGGGCTAACGAGACTGTTTAAATCAACTGCACTTTATTTGATATTAAAGTAAACATGCGCAATATATCTACAAACGTACTAATCAAAGTTTGAATTACTAAAGTGACGACATTTAACATGCCAATTACCTATTTACAAAACCTATTGTTCAGTTTGAACCCATCAATGGTTGCGATTCGCTGATCGACTGCTCATCTTCAGATATACTTAGAGAAGGCGGCTCCGATATCGCAATACTCTCCTGCGATGAGACACTATTCCTGGTCGAGTTACCAACCTGGTTATTGGTCGAATTCGTGTTTAATTCACCCTGCGAGTTATTGGGCATTGGATTATTCACAATGTTTACTTGCTGGTCAGCGGAGACTTGCAGGATTGTTCTGTCATGCGTCCTAGAGCCACCTGAATCGCGGTTTCTAGAAGTCTCATCTGAAGGCATTGTTATATTAATGTTATTATTGATCACAGTAGTTGTATTGTCTTGAACAACAGTGTCAAAGGGCGGAGGATCCCGTTGAACTTGACTCATTGCTTCATCGTAAGATGGCAAAGAGAAATGAAATCCACGTGGGCATGTGATCAAAGTCACATGGTCGTCGTCACTATAGAAACGACTACGAATATTTTGATGCCTAAACCGGCGATTGCGGTGAAAGCGACGAACAAAGACCATGATGCTTAGCAGGATGACTAATGCACCTAATGTTGAGCCTGCACTCGCGGTGACTATGGTCAGCGTGTCTAGCTGTCTATGACTTTGGCTGCCGTCGTTGACGTGTGGGAGCACTTAAGGTGAAAAAAATCATGAAATCAGTTATTTATTGCACATACCATTCTTGTTTACACACCGATCAGCGATAACAACTGGTTTGTGCCAATTGTGGAATTTAAGCAACAATTTAACAATTTAAGCTATCTTTTTTATTACGAAAAAGGACCAACGGGGCCCTGCGATCAACGTCTGAAAACGTCAGCCTATTATTTGTCGTTTTGTGGTTTATAATTCATGGTTGGATCCCAACCTGCCTCGTCTTTTTGCCAAATAAAATTCAACGCTATTCTGGTTGTCTCTTTTACAGGGGAGCACCGAAGGAGACTACTTTTCTGTTGATTTAATGATGAACTTACCATTCGATACGCACACTGGATAACCACTTGCAACATTTTTTAAGTGCTTGCCACTCTCTTGACATCTACTACTAAACTCCGTAAGTGTAAGACACCGGGGCGGTGGATTCGTCCAAAACGGCGATCCKTTATAACTTTGACATTTCATTGTAGAATTGCCCCACAAGTAATAATGAGATGAGCACGAATACTTCACAACAGTGCCATAAACATAGATCCCTTGTGGGCTTCCTGGAAAGTGTTTCCCATTTGTGATCACTCCAGGATCTGCACATGATATTTCTGAAAAAAATATCAAAGCAAAATTTGCATTTTGCCCAAAGGAAGCCCATAACCTACCAAGGTAACAAACTATGACACGATGACACATGCATCTGAGAACCTTCCTTTCCTTTACGAAAATACAACGTCTTTGATTTTGAACCAATCAGTATAATATTCAAGATAAGATACCTTAACAGGTACTACCGACAAGTTAAATGTGAAATAGTAAGCTTTACTATCCGGGCCATTAGAAWGGAAATTCCATAAAATGTCATTTTGACTCCCATACTTATATCTTTTGCCAAAATATGTTCTGAAGCCCTTCAAAAAAGCTGGAAATCAAATTTCTGAGGCTCAAAATTTTGCAGTTGTAAGCCTACAACCAAACATATGCTTCAAGGTGTAAAACAAAACAAATGATTTCAAGGGTTCTTGGATGCATATGGTCTTTTAAATCTAGAATCATTCAAGTCCATCCTGGGGAATGCACGGCAAATCTTCTGTCATTCGTTCCTCACTCCCGGAAAAAATATCCATGGGCATGAAGTCTGTTAGACCTTSTTCTCTACTCGAAATCCAAAAACAATCAAAATTAATCAACCAATGACAATTAAAAATCTATTGCGCATGCCTTGCAACCTCTCTTCACGTCACCAAACACTATTCGTACCCAGGGATTTTTTTACACTTCCTATTTGKCAAAGGAAGCCCTAATACCAATCTTCAAGATTAAATATCTCGGCCCTGTTTTATCCGATAGCACTATAAACCACCTCATTTTAACCCTTAAACCGCCGAAAATCGATCCAAAGTTGTGTTATTTTTGGAGTTATAAGCGCTTTAAGTGAAYCACTCGACCTATCAGAAACAAGCACAAATACACTATGAATTTCGAATCAAGAACRAGATCTAACAAACTTCTTGCAGAGGGGTATTTTTTTTCTGGGATTTAGGAAAGAATGACAAAAGATTACCCCTCATCTCCTGAGTATGGTTCAAGTCAAATCAACATTTAAGTATCTTACACCAAACCCTCAGTCTTACCAGCTTTACATGTAGGATTTGGACCATCAGACCATATGCCATTACGTTGACAAACTCTTTTATTTGTGCCTACTAGTTTGTATCCAGTAAAGCAAGTAAACCTGACTTCAGTACCAATTATAAATGGTTGTCCACTGTATACAATTTTGCCTTTCTTAATGGAACCAACAGCTAAACATTGGTTGATCACTGTAACAGATGTTCATGTATCAATCAAACAGTTTATGTATATATGGGAGTTCCCATTACCTCCSCCCAGGGTTTTTTCCCCATGGTGAAGGGGTGGGGAATCGCTRTAACAGTTTGATATAACAGATGTTTATTTTCAGAAGAGGAAATTCCAACTTAGTTCTTGAAGAATTGATGAGAAATCCAATCAGTGTATTTTGATGAAAAAGAATTAATCAATAGCACAGAATGATTACGCAGGAGTAGTGCCATTTTCTTCAATTTTTGTTAATGAAGATGGAATGACTTATAGGTATCACAGAAAATACAAGTCTCTAGTGAGCACACAAGTACATTTGAACAGTAACACAATCAATCAATCAATCAACTGCAAGGGTAATTTGTCAATCAGCCAGCAAAAACTAACCAGCATTTCATCAGCCAATCAAAAACAAGCATTTTATTTATATATCAACCAATCAAAAAAAAAGCATTTCTAATTATCTATCTGCCAATTAAAAACAAGCATTGTAGCATTCATAAACAGCAAGCACTTATCAGTCAATAATAAACTGTGTTTATTAGATGAAATAAAATCAAGAAGTCACATTCTTTGAGCACAGTTCATACTATTAAGTCACATACCACATTTGGTGGAAGATCCAGACCAGGTTCCATCCTGTTGACATGTCTTCTCAGCTGAGCCCTTTACAACATACCTATCACTGATACATTTAAAGGTGATTTTTTGCCCTGGCATGTAAGATGRTCGATCRGGTACAAAATRCCCATTTGAAAAATTCTCAAGTTTGGGACACAGTTTAGCTGAAAGAGAAAATAAGAAAAAATATGACAGTTTAATTTTGTGTCCATGATATACCAGTTATTAAAGTCATTAATAATGGTAAACACAATGGAAAATCTTTGCCATATGATCAGCAACAAAAGGGGAGGCTGCAAAGGAGACTAGCTTAATTGTAGCTTGCAGTTTTAAATGCCCATAAATGTCTCCGGTTAATATTCTATATTTAATTTTTAAACTAGGTCTCATTGCACAGGCGATGCCGAAAAGTRCACATAATGTCCTGAGATGCTTATGTCAATGYCCATGTCAAGATGTGAACTTACAACACCAAGGCTGAGTTCCAGTCCATTGTCCATGACCATTGCATGTTCTTGTTGAAGATCCAGACAATACATAGCCATTATGACAAGTGTACTTAGCGATGCTGCCATATAACAGAGATTTGTAGTCAACTTGTCCATTAGGAAGGACTGGACGAGAGCATACTGTTCCTGTTTATAAAAAAATCATCAATTTATAAATAAGCAGTTAATGGCTGTTCTAGGGAAGGAATTAGATATGAAAATGATAGACTTCTCCAATTTTATTAATTCCATAATTCAAACGTTATTAAGCAAACATTTTATCCATCATGATTGACAGGCTGTCCTCTGTATTGCTGCCTATTTAACTGATTTAACTGACAAAAATATGTGTTTTATGAAATTCTATTATAGAGAACAACATTACCTTACTAGGAACTGATGCAGACTTGTGTGCACATTAAAGATATGACAATTTTTCCAGATATTAAATCCTACTCTATTCAATATTCTTTGACTTACTGGTGCAGTTTACATTGCCCTGCCAATATCCATTCTTCTGGCAGACTTTTACCAAGGACGGAGAGGAATAGCCAACTGAGCAGTTATAGTGTGCTATTTTCCCAATCTTATTGCTCTGGCCTACTATTACTTTACTGAGAAGACTTGCATTTGGTACATCAGTGGGAGGGGAGSGTGAACACAATGTTGCTGGAAAATAAAACACAWTTTYACTTTTTTTGAATCTGAGATAAATGCAAGTTGTGCTAGAGAAATTGTAGGGCCATTCTCATCAAATACAAGTGAATTTGATAAAGTAATCTGATTCCCTCTTTGGGAATGTATGWTTTCTGGAACAAACCCAGGAATAAAATAATATAAAAAGCACCTTTGCATCTAGGAGGCTTGGAAGACCATAAATTGTTACTTTCACATTGTATCTTTGGTGGTCCAGTTAAATTATACGTGATTTGATGTTGGCTGAAACATCTAAACTTCAGGGTATCACCTATCGAAAAACGTAGCTTATTGTGGTCTGCTGGCCTATAGCCAAGGATTACCAGAGGTAATTTGACTTGAAGAGTGCATCCATTTACAATTGCAACTGAAAGTACAAGAACAGGTACATCTTTGAATGAATACATTGTCTAGCAATTATATTTTACATTGTATAATATATAATGTAGCACTCAATGGAAACCATGACCTACCGCCCACAGAAATACCAGGCATTTTGTGTATTTAAATTTCTGGATCTTATAGGCAAAAAAAGCAGCCAAACAGATCACTYTGATTTCCTGTCTCATGATTGATTCATGCTGAATTCCAGCAGGCTATATCTAACAATTACAGCTTTAGACTACAAAGCCAAGTGGAATATATGAAAAGAAACTCATTTTTTTCTTTTTCTTTTTCTTTTCTTTTTCTCTGCATCTTTTTCGATGCAGCAATGGTATAACATGAATAGACCATGGTTAACTGGCCAATCAGAAAGCTAGATATTAAATAGTTCAGTACATTAAAATGTGTCGATGCTTGGAGAGCTGGGGGATTGGAGTTTCAGCTGAGTGATGCAAAATATTGCCCTGTGGCCTTTAATCACGTAGATTTGAAAACAGAAAAAGATTCATCAGCAAAGTTTTTTGYTTTGTCATTTTGGGTTGACATGCCAAAACAGATTAACACAAAAGTCTGGAACTACATAAACTTAAGTTAACATTTTGGTTTTTTCATTGCCAGGTTTTACTATACTTAATAGTTGTAGACCCCTTAAATAAGTTTTTAAGAAAGGAAATCCAACAATACAAACGTTGATACCCATTATTTTGAGATAAAATCATGATGAAAAAGAAGCACGTTCACGGCCTGCAATGTTACATGACATGTAAGCTTACTTCCGAAAGCAAATTTTAGTCACATACCTTGAGAAATGACGGCCAATATAACACTGATTGGGAATATAATCCTTATCATTATATCACCCGTAGTCGTTAGAGCCAGTTTTTGTGAAAATATAGCACAAAGTACCGAAAAGAAATAGAGGATATTTCTAAAAACACAAGTAACACTTCACTGACTCSCAAGTGAACATCAATCCAAAACGAGTTCTTCTACCAAATCAAATGGCTGATCTKGGTCTTTATGGTCTTAAAATCGAAGAATGTTGTTTCCTTGAAGTTTTGAAAGACAACTTTCTTGACGATTAYAGCTAAWTYAGCTACATTTTCCGYATTTCAGATCAATCACGTCGAAGAGTTACACACTTCCGCCATGTTTATATGAGAGTGTAACTTGACCCAGACCTATTTTGACCGTCACGGTCAAATTACATGGCGTGAGATCTACGTAATATTTGTTACTTTGATGGGTGGGGAGGGCGAAGAACAATGCTTTACTTATTTCGAGGATGTGGAATGCCCGAGTCATTTCCGGCCTTTTTCTTAAATGTCGTTTCCTTTTTTTCTTGGATTTTTTTCGTTCTTCCACTATTCCTTGCTTTCTATGATCACCCAATACTTTCTATAAGCTTAATAAAATTTAGGCAAAGAATTACCAAATCATTCTTCTTGTATTTTATTCATTTATCCCCAAAACTATTTCCATATTATTATAACACTAATATAAAGCATAAATTATCATTGATTGTAAAAGTTCAAGCCTAGTACAACAGTAGAGTGACAGTTATCTGTTAGATTTCTTTAATATATAACTTAATTTCTTACGAGCACATGAGATCCTTTTATAGATGTGATCTGATCCAATTACAACTTTCTATATTATAGTGCAAACATATCAATAACATTATTATCAATAAAATTAAAACAGGCAATGATTTAGTCAAGGCCTCCTCCTAAACAAAAACTGATGTAAACAACGTTCTCGTTCCTACGGCTTCTCTGTTTATTTATTTTTTATTTCATTTATTTTCTTTTTTTTCAATAAGGCCCTAGGTACAAGGTAACATTGTTTTCTGCCCAGGATCAAAGTTGATTTTTATCACAATTATTTCATGTCCTCTGGACAATCTGGCTGCTGTGATGGATGGGATTCCTTGAATGCATCCACTTGGGACAATGCTTCGTTGATTCGTGATATAATCGGGTACTTGGACATATCAACACTGAAACGGTTGGCATTGTACACTTGAGGAACAAGACACAAGTCTGCCATAGTGATCTTATTGAAACAAAAAAGAAAAACAGTAATTTTACATGTGATAATAATACTATAAAAAAAGGTTGGGTGATGTGGTGAAGGTCCCCCCTAAACTTGGGTGGGGGTGTGCCACTGGGACGTCAAAACCCTGATCCTGTTCCAGAGTGAAATTGCCGAAAACTATACCCAGTTCCAGAGTAAAATCGCTGAAAACGATATCCTGTTCCAGAGAAGAACTTGCACTAGCTTGCATGTAGACCGAATTTTTACCCCGTGAATTTTTACCCAGCATCGAAATAATTCCGGAATTAAACCCTGACCCTGTTCCAGAGAAAATTCGTTGAAATCGATACCCTGTTCCAGAGTAAAATCACTAAAAACGATACCCAGTTCCAGAGTAAAATCGCTGAAAACGATACCCTGGTTGGCGGCACGTCCCCGTATAGCGAATATAGGGGAGTACCCCCCYCCCCCCCCCCCYTCYGGGCACGGATGGCCTAGTGGTTAAAACTGCTGTCCCTCCACTACTGTGGTCCAGGTACAATTCCCAGGTACGGACCACATGTGAGTTTGAGTTTATTTGATGTGTTGTTCTCTCCCTTGCCACAAGGGTTTTTCTCCAGGTCCTGAGAGTGTTGTCAATGTGTGCTAAAATACTTAATGAAGAGGTAGTCAGTATGAGAGTACAGGGCCCAAACTACAGTGTCTACAGTGTTACTGTCTTTTATAGCAATTGTTAGTTTGGGGCTTTAAACTTTTGTGCAAATGAATATGGATGTTGACTTTGGGCTTCCTGTGCCCTATACACAGGAATCCCAAAAAAACATACTAGTACCATGGTGTCAACCAATCACATTACGTGAAAGAATGCAAATATGTGCTAACATATGTAATCAAATAAGCATTTTAGTTACATGTATTTTACTATCACTTGGACTAATTGTCATTCAATTTTCCATCCTTTTTTCATTTACTTTTCTCAACCCTCACCTCATCCCCAACGCAGTACTTTCCAGATGTGGTCTCAAGGAGCTTTTCCAAGCCTAGGAAATGCAAAACAATTGCATCTTAATAATCTTGTCATATTTGCACTCACAACAGAGTGAACTGGAGAATTTGTGAGTTACTTGCAAAGAGGTCACAGTGCATAACTTCATAATTCTCTTATAATTTGGCATAGTATTGTATCACAGTTGAGAACAAAAATGCATGAAAAGACAGGGAGCTCAATAATCCATTTACCATCATTAAATAAAGTTTATTATTATTATTATTATTATTATTATTAATCCAGTTTCGAATTCTCCAATGCTCTGTGCTAGCCTCATTTGTGAGCAATTTAACATTTCTAATTGTGAGAATAAGAGTGAGAGATTTCAAATTGATCAATTAATCTATTGTCTTTCTTTTCAATAAAACAAAAGGATGTGTTTTACGTGGTTTTGAGGYTAACACAGAGCAAACCAGAAYTCGAAATTGGAGTATTATACAAGAAGGAAAAGCATTTTTGAATAACAATTTTCTTAACTTACATTTATGCCACAATTTACACATCAATCTATTTAATTTCTATTTTTGACRTTTGGCTATAACAAAACTTACTTCCTAAACCTCTGTCTATCCAATATTTCCCCCACTCCATCTTCTTTTCACTTCCAACATGCTGAAGAACTCTGAGATTTTGCAGTGGCTGAATACCAGATGTGATAATAAGGCTGACTTCTCTGACCTTAATAGCAAGAAGAAACATTGATAATTGCATGTTACACATTATCATAGAACTTAAACTAAAAATATAATCATTTCAGTCATTTACCAATGCACGCTTGTAAGGATCATTTTTTGGAAGCAACGGTGGATCAGGTCGTGTTTCATCCAAATATTCAACAATCGCTAGCTTGAGTAAAACAAAAAAGAACAGCAAATGAACAAACTRACTTATGATTAAGTGAGGACTAATGGTGGCTGAAAAAATTCAAAATATTAATTGGATGGTGGCTAGAAATGCACTTTGASTAGATATGTTTTATTTGGTGTMCTTTTTGCATACCGACTCTGTGAGGGTGTGTCCATCAATCACGAGAGCTGGGATTTGACCAACAGGATTAACCTTCTTATAGTCATCAGAGTGCTAGAATGAAAAATCCAAAAGCAATTTTGATAATTCACTGAAAARTTGCATGTTTTATAGGTCTTTACATGAGGTTTAAAGTCTAAAATCTCAGTATCAGCCCAGGAAAATTGTCTAGATAAACCMGTTTTGACTGAGACTACCAGGTTGATCCTTAATCTACAAACTTAGTRATCCACATATCCACTATTGAAAATATCAAATGTCTCCAATTCTGCCCCTAAAAAAMTTTTTTTTGGATCTGCCTATCTGAAAAATCACAAACCATAAACACATACATAAAATAAATCAATWYTGCTTACCTGTTCACCTCCACCTTTAACCAAGTGAACTGGATGGTATTCATACTCAATCCCTTTGAGAGCAAGAGCTACAAACACAAAAAGAAAATCTGAATATATATGAATATTAAATGCTTTGCAAGATTACATATCATTTTGTACTATAATATAATCTGAGATTATATTATAGTACAAAATGAGTAACATATGTCTTCAATTAATCTTACAGCGTCTATAACACAACTAAAAAACATTTTAAGGACCCATCTTTCGCACCCCCAAAACACGTTAATTGTACAAAACCAAGCACAAAACGGAATGGCCTTTATATAATGCAAATTGAAACAATAATTTTGCTCTTCAAACCTGCTCTGACTCGCCATGTACAAGAACTTCTGAAGTACGAATACAAAATAGGCTACAAAGAAAAGAATTGAAATTGCAGTGAATAATGTTGCACGTGTAGGCTGATGGACCTGTTCAAGATCTGTAATCTTTTGCATTCAAAAATGAAAATTTCTCAAAAGATTAACTCTTAAGAACTAATAATATCTAACATCATACCTTTGCAGACATCGAAAAGGTTAAAAATATGAAGAACASTTGTTGTGTGTGCTATCCCACGTACACCGTCACTAAGAAGGCTTGGTTACCATTTAAACGAGASATTGCGTGACATTCGAACTCTCACTGTCACACAAATATATAAGTCTATCATGACCGATCATGACCTTAAAGGCTATTGCATCATCATGATACAAGACAGGAYCTCCTTCATTATTGTTTTATAATATTATAGTCATATTATAGTATATTTTTTTTCGTTTTTAAAATAAATCAATTATCCATTCGTTACGTATTTATGATACAATCACGTGGTACCTACCGGGACCCAGTCTCTTTAGTAACTGAACACCAAGTGTCAAAATGAATGGTTTAAGCTTATATTACATTACTTCTCATAGCACAAAAGTGTTTTCTTTTATCATATACTTCAGTTAACTGCAGACAAATGGAGGACTTTATCGCGGGCTGGTTTGGAGGTAAGAYAAGTTCTTCGCCTGTTTTTACTATTGTGGGGTCGAAACGAAGTATTTTTATTTTCATCATAAATGTTTTGAAGTGCACGAAGTGTCCATCTCTAGACGAGGCTGAGAGTGAGAATGTTTCACCTTTGGTGGGGTTTCATTGACATTTTGAAAAGGGCTTATCAAGTGAAGCAGTATGAACTGCAAACATAAAATTTTATCATAGTTGGCTTCATAGATCATGTTGCTAAAGAGCAGTGCACCGGCATCGCAGAGGTCATGGGTTCGATACCCGTTGAAGCCCGGAATTTTTTTCGGGCGATGCATATATCAATAATCACTTAAAATTACTATTATTTCATTGCGAAGATCACCTGTATATTATTCTCTTCTACATACCTCAAACCTCATCCAATAATAATTAATATTTATTTGATATATATGAAGGTTGTGCAGGTGTTATCGTTGGACAGCCTATGGACACCATTAAGGTCAGATATAATTCGTCATTGTTTTCTCTGTTTGATTGAAGCTAAGGTCAGCTTAGAAATAGCACSCGATTCGAATAGAACTGTAATAACACAGGTAGCCMAAGCTTGATATAACAAAACCATCTACACATAAACAGCTGCTTTGAAGAAAACAAGCCAATGAAACTTGTTAGAATTCATCAGTATCTAAAATGCATTACATGTAAGAAAGATATTACTCAATTTAAAAGGGCTACTAGCATAACAAATGGCAAAACATTGGATAAGGCTTCAAGCTCATCATTGCTCCAACTCATCCTCAGACAGTAAATAGTTGGGGTTACCTGTGTGTAAGTTTAGAGGCTCTATAATAGTACATCCATTCCCACTCCTCCCCCCGATGGGGGGAAGTTTTGTGAGGAGGGAAGAGGGATGAGAACAGATGTATACAGGCTAGAAAACTACCTATAGCCCACTTATTAAGTAACTATGACATTCTACTGGATTTATTAGGTTCGCATGCAGGCTATGGATGCTACAAATAGTGGAAAACGGCATAGCTTTAGAAAAGTCTTTTTCAATACAATAAAACATGAAACAGTAAGTATGACACACTTTTGTTTTCAAATTTTATTGTCTTTCATGTCCAAGACAGGCTCTGTTTACATGGTGATAGGGTCCTATTTTATACAATACTGTTGGGGTGACTCTACTAACTTGCTTTCTATGGTTTGTGTTTAGATATTATGTATCTTTTTCCTCTTGTCCACATAACTAACCATTGTCACTCTCCTGTCTTAATTTTTCTTGATTTATAAAATAATTGTGCACCTTGTTATAGGTATCAGGTCTTTTCAAGGGTATGGCTCCTCCACTAACTGCAGTTGCTCTGCAGAATGCAATTCTATTTGGTGTTTATGGAAACACTCTGAAATTATTTGAAGCACAACCAAATGGCACATATTCTCCACACCATATAGCAGTGGCTGGATCAGTGGCAGGGCTTGCACAGTGTTTGATAATCGTTCCTTTAGATCTCGTTAAAATCAAGCTCCAAATGCAAACTGAGGGTAAGCTAWCAGGCTGTGTMAACCAYGTTCATCTTACACACTTTTATCAAACTSTTAAGTGTACAACCATGCAGTTTTAACCTTGATAGGGCATTCCAATATCGAATAAACGTTATTACTATTGGAGTCCTCTATAGGCGTTCTTAATTGGTATAAAATGACTGAAATTATGCAACCTAGAAATTCTAAACTTCCATGAAGGGCTAGCATAGTTATTCTTAAGAAGCACTATGACAACCAGCAATGCATCTTGGTATTGGAATGCACTTTGCACTCAGTACAACAACCTCGTTCCCAGGCATAAGGGCCTGGGAATGAGRTTGTCAGTACAAACTAATTATAGAATAAAATTATGTACGTGATACAGCTATTTCAGAAAACGCTGAATACTAATTACTGTACACTGCATAGTACAATTCAAGACCTCAATGAATTGTAGCTATTTAACTCCACATAAGCAACGTTCAAAAACAACATGAAAGGTCCACTCGCATGCAGGATCCTTTGCGTGTAGAAAACGGTTTTCAACAGGAGTATATTTGTAAAAACAAAAGAAACGATCACAAAGGTTCTTGGATGCACCTGGGACTTTTTTCTTTTACACTAACGTCTGGTTCGTTAACAGACAAAAAGGATTTTCAATTATTTGAGTTTCTAATATAACGAATGACGCATTGTGATTTGGATCATTGTTATTTTTCACAGCAAAACGGAAGCAATCTCTTTATAAAGGACCAATCGACTGCATCAAGAAGATTTATCAAGTTCGTGGTTTTAAAGGTTATTTTCAAGGTATGTCTACAACCATTCTGCGTGATGTTCCAGGATTTGGCATCTATTTTGGAGTGTACGAGCTTCTTTGTCATTGGTTATCCAAGGTTTTGGATCAAAATAGCGCTCTTATACCGTTGACATGCGGGGGRMTCGCTGGAGTTATATCCTGGATGTCGACATTTCCATTTGACGTCGTCAAGTCGCGTCTTCAAGCCGACGGTAACCATGGGAACTATAGATATTCAGGGATTGCTGATTGTGCTGTGAAGAGTTTCCGYGCTGAAGGAGTGGGCGTGTTTACACGTGGTTTRTTACCGACTGTTGTACGGGCGTTTCCTAGTAACGCCGCAATATTTTATGTTTATAAYTTTTGTTTAAAAATTCTACATCAAAAGGATTTATCTATGACTTCAGAAGAAATATGATTTCATAATTGTGGTTTTGTAATCTTTTCAAACGTCTCAAAATGCAGCGATCACTTAGCACCGCAACCTGTCAGTTAACGATCATGCTACGCAAAGATCACTTGTACTTTCATCTCAAACTGAACGGGATCGCCTCAGACGACACCGGAAACGGCTGCTAGGAGTCTAGCCAGGACGTGGTGATACTGGTTTCAGTGGTCTCAGCAACTATACGAACGCTAGGCCCTAGTCTATCGAAGGCGGGACCAAGCGGGGGGGGGGTGTCCTTTGGTCCCTGACACAGCAAAAATTTCGTCATTTAGAACTAATATTTCACTCTAACTACCTATGGTCTACTAGGTTGGATTACTTAATAGCACATGTGATATGTCGAGGGATTGTTGGACTCCTTCGCAGGCCCCCCTCTTTTTAAGTTTGTATATATGTCGGGTTTCCTGTGGATAAAATTGGGGAGAGAGGGGACTGGGGGAAGTAAACGAAACAAAAAGGGAAGAGACACATTTTTCATTCTTCTGTGCGTCTMGGCTATCCGTCCACACAAAAACCACGAAACAATTCGACAAAAGAAGCATATTTTCAAAAACGGTTTCCAAAGTGAAGTGCATTTTCGTTTCCTCGTTTGGACAGTGAAAACGATCGCAAAAATTATGACGTCAGTCTCGTTTCACGTCCAAGTCATCGTACATGCACTTGCATTGCATTATGTATGCGTACTTAGGCCTTTACTTGCCTCAACATATTCGAGTACAGTTCATAGTTCCAGACGCAATGCATTGTAGACCATTGTAGGATAYGTTTGGGACAAAACATTGCAGATTTCTTTTGATTTCCTCCAGAATATGACCCCACAATGTATTTCAAATCACGAAGGTGAAGAAGGAACAGGCTCTTCATCATGATCATCAACAACAACATTATCTATAATAATACTTTTAGGCCTTAGTAAATTTTGAATTTTATCATATCTATTTTCAATATCAATCGTAAGCATGTATATGCCAAGATAGTACTTCAAGCAAAGCACGTTTAACAAGCCAGGATCCGGCTTGTGACGTTCTTGTCATACGACATATGAAGACTTTCCTTTTGCTGAAACAACTGTCTCTATGATTTTATGCTGGGATTTTCGCATACGCCAAAAAAAAATTATTCAAAGGCATTTTAGCTTCCTTAAAGACTAAATTGATTTGTTTTGTTTTAATATATTCATTTTGTAAATTTTCCGGCACTTTTCCCCACGTTGCACTSCCAAAGGAACACTTTTATAATTATAACTAACCAATCAGTACACGGAAAATATGTTACATCACTTCCGGTATTCTATTTTCATGGCCGAGTTTATAAGGGACGTTTTAGAGCTAAAAGGAAGCGATTTATCGACATAAAACTAGGCTCAAAATCGAGAAAGTTATAATGTCATGGATTCTAAGAATGATAAACAGCCTCTAGTTACAAAAAAGGAAAAGTCTCATGCAAAATGTGTTATAGTTGGAGACGGAGGAGTAGGGAAAACCTCGTTACTCGTGAGTTACCTCATGGACGGATTTCCGAACGATTATACACCAACCACTTTTGATAATTATCAAGGTYAGTGCATTATGATTTTATTCTGATGTTTTCTATGTTKTTGATATGAAATTTGYKTATTTTTCAGTATCTGTAGAAGTTGATAAACGCATTTGCACTGTTGAGTTTTGTGATACCGCCGGTCAGGTGAGCGCCAACGTGTTGTAACACACTTGTGATCACACTTGATACGATAACTATTATCTTGAAAATTTATCATGATTCCCTCACGAAAAGCTTTCAAATGCATTATATTTCTATACATGTTGCTCTTTTAGGGGTATTTAAAAGCTAATGAAGTTATTATGCGCCGTGTATTTATTTAATTTAAGCTTAATATTACCTTCAATTGATTGAAATGACTCGTTCTGCTGCCACTTGTTTTGCCGACAAAAGGCGAGTGGTGTTGTTTTGACGGACCTTTGATGGCCTTTTTGGCTGCTAGTTCGTGACATTATGATTAATTTCGTGATCAGGAGTCTCTCAAATTGATCTAGAAATTTCCTTTGAGTTCCTTTTATTGTCTTTTGCCAGGATAAAAACRGATTAGTGGATTTTTGTTTTCTTTTGTTATTAAAGGTTTTTCCGACCAAGGATATTATCATAATAGTTTTGGTTGTAAACAGAGCTTTTAATATCTTTTTCAGGAGGACTTTGACTCGTTTAGACCACTTTGCTACCCAAGCACAGATGTATTTATTGTATGTTTCTCCGTTGTTTCGCCAACTTCGTTTTCAAATGTCTCGACGAAATGGATCCCCGAAATACGAGAATTTAATCCAAAAGCGCCGATAATTCTCGTTGGGACGCACTCAGACTTGAAAAATTGTATGAAAGTACTTTTAGAACTCTCAGAAAAGGGCGAAAGTCCAATATCTTTAAAGAGAGCTCAAGGATTGGTGAAAAAGACTCGATGTGTTTGCTACGTAGAAACATCTTCAGTAACTCAAAAAAATTTAAAAACTGCATTTGATGAGGCGATATCTTCAGGGATTTTACCGCCGAAAACTTCAAAGACGATAGACCTCCGGGGCTGCGTTTGTGGTGTAATGTAGATTTTTTTGTTTCCGGATTTATTAAATAATTATGTACATTTTGTCAGAAGCTCTAATCATATACCTAACAAAACATGCATAATATACTTACTTACAATTAATATTAAAAAAAATGGTCAAGATAATATACAGCCTTTTGCAAAAATTATGAGAATTGTCTAAATATCTAAATATCATAATATCCATATCCATATATTGTCCGGAACACGCGGGTTTGCTAGAATAATTCATTGTTGACATCGAGAAAATGTTCAGAACTACGGATAAGTCTGTCGCCAAAAAAAAAATAAACTACAAAGACAAGGGACTAAGGGCATCGCGCGGGATTACACATCATGCACTCGATATTATGATATTTAGATATTTCGACAATTCTCATAATTTTTGCAAAAGGCTGTATATTTTGGTCATCCCCATGTAATTGCGTCTCCTATTACCCAATAAAATGCACTTACTTACATTATTATAGAGCAGTAATCATACAAAAAATATTTTCAAAAGTGACATTTTAGGTCAATTAATATGGGGATGGCTTGCATACAATTAAGTGGAAAGTGATTGTCAAACAGAGATTGCATGGTTGAAAAGGACTATGGTTACGACATTTCTTGCCTGAAAATAATATTTCACAGTTATTATTTCACATCAACTAGCAACCTTTGGCTCCTTTCAGCCATCCAATCTCCTTTAGACAATTGGCGTTCATCATTTGTCTGATAGTCTTTTTTGAATAGACATGTACATATTAGATAGTGTTATTGATGTACCAGACCTAGCTTTGTTTGTCCTTATGCATATTCACTCTTTGAATTTTTCAAAATTTGGTTGGGGGCTGATTTAAGGGAACATAGTATAAAAAAGMGCATGGGCTGTAGTCTCCATTTCCACAGCATTGAAGTTTTATAGATATCTATTGTTTTCATTTACAAGAATTTTCCATGATGCTCTGTGCTCTCCACACTGTAAATAAAACATCAGTGTTTCTCAATGACAATATTAGCAAACTAAAAATTTCATAAATAAGTCTAGATGTCTTGCAATTTTTATATGCCTTGTGTAAGTTAATCTGGAAGCTAGAACACTAGAGAGATAACAACCTCGGATTTCGTCCAGAAATGGACTTTATTTATACTGAATCCAGGCCTTTTTTAATGATTTGAATTGGACCCTGGAATTCCAACTGGCCATCGGAATCTGGTATCAACTGGAATTAGAACAAATGGGATCCAGAATTCTGGACATGCGTCCTGTAATCTAGCTCTTTTCTGGATTGCCATACATGGGGAAAATTTGTTTTAGTTAGAATTTATTTGCCTTCAATAGATCCTGTAAATATATATATAATTTGATGAAAGAGGTAAATTTYCTTGTTAATATAATGTATATATTTTCAATTCAATGTTGTTTAGCAAAGGAATTGTATATAGATAAAAAATGTTTTTGAGGTAAATATCATTCTTTTTTTTTCAACTTCATAGTTAGAGTCTCCTTTTAGAGCACTTACTCGGGCAACTTCATAACTTCATAGATGACAAGATGAAATGTTTGGTCCCTGCTTCTTGTCTAATCAAATCTTCAATTAAATTATCAGTAAATAAAAATCTCAGTTGCTCAGACGGAACTACAATGAAGTTGTAAGTTCAACGACACAAATATCAAATAAAATTTGTAAGCCGTTGTCGGTTTCATCAGTGTTTCATCAGTGGCTATCAATTCGTCCAGTCTCAATTCGTCCAGTGTTGCTTGGTGCACAGGCGCCAGACTACTGGGTGACTTTGGGTAACTGTCGGCGTTGTTTTTTTTTCCTCTATCACATGGGTCGGATTCCATTTCGCGCATTCCCAATSGATGTTTCACGCGGTTATAAATTAGCTTCGACTTCCGAGAGAAATCGTAAATATATTTTCGGTAGTAATTAAGGAACCCCTTTATTCTTCGGACTTACTTGATGGTTTTCGGCTTAGATTCTCTTAGGCATATTATAGGTTGTATTCCTGAAGGACCTGAAGAGTCAAGTCGATATCCCTGTTCAGATACGACATGTCCAAGGAAAACCATTTCCTTCTGAAAAAGCACCTTCACGCCATTATTTTCGTAGCTTCTGAAAGACTTGTCGTAGGTGAATTGACGGCAATGTCGTCCACGTAGTGGATTCACATTTCATTCCTCAGCTCGCCTAGAAAGGTCTCCACAAATCTTTGGAATGCTGCCGGCGCGTTTGTTAGGCCGAAAGGAATTGGGGTCCACTTATAGAGACCCCACGACTCTGAGACTCCGTGCTCGAGACTCTGTTTCATTCTTATCTTGTAGTTGTAATAACTTCACAAATGCTTTCTCTTTCATCGAGCGCGTGTGTACATGAAATACGTGTCTTTCGTGTCAAATGAAAGTGTACTCTTGCTGGTCTTATGCTTTCATTCATCATTATCCCCATCTTCCCTAGTGGGAATAGGGCCGCGACACGGTGACGCCACTCTTGGCGGTCCTTTGCAACTTTCAAAGCCTCGCCCCAAGTCAGTCCCATCTCCAGCAACTCAGCCTGGACGGTTCTTCGCCAAGTTGTTTTAGGCCGTCCAGACTTACGCTTCCCTTACTTTTATGCTTTATTCAGGGATATCTTCTTGGAACCACATCAGTTCATAGTCTTGTATGTGCTGCTGATGTTTTCCAAGATGTTTCTGATAAAGATATCGCTAGGGGATGGTTAAAGTTGGCAATCCAATTGGTCGTGTTATTTTTGGGTTAATGGGGTGTGTTTGTGGAAGATCATCTAAGAAACCATTGTACAAATAAGTTGTTGTTGGGAAGATTGTGTCTAGCTAGATTCGAGACTAGATCAGGTTGGATTATTAGGAATACTGCTTGTAACTATTACAGTTTCCATGACATAAATGCAAGATTGTAACGTGTGGTAACCACGGGAAACTATCATAAATTTGTTAATTGTATATACACCTAATTAAAAAAAACCTCGCGGTCGCTAAAAGGTGACATCATCGCGGAGACTGACCAAAGCGAATTTAAGTCACTCGAAAATTCGAATCATACGATATGCATATTTGCCTAAACGTGGTACACTATAGCATCACTCATAGGGCTGGGCTGTTTTATTAGGTCCCGGCAATCCTTTTGTACAATTAAACACTGTTCTTCTCGTCATATTTGTTTCCCATGCTCCCTTTCGGTCGTAGCTTCGCTAATGTAACCTTTTTGAACCCGACTCCGTTTGTTCAAGTAGATCCATATAGCGCCTGAGATATGGTTTGGTCAGCGGTGCTTCAAAATTTACGCGCCAAGCTGCATGATTGTTTGTCACGGGATCAATGGGGCGAATATTGAATGAATGCTGATCAGGCACTGTTGCATGCACACCAAGGACAACATGAACAAATGCCATGGGGCTTTTTATTTCTTCTCGATTGGTTTATGGAACTCATTTTCAAGGCTGCTTGTGAATTTGGTAGCGACTCAAGACATTCTCGCAGGAACACTTATTCCATCGACTTCTTTAATAATACTTAGCAAAGTTCCTGAATTAATTAGTAAAGTGAGCAGTCCTTTCATCGTCAGAAGAATCCACCCTGGTTGGTCGATGCTTCTTGGTACTGTTTTATTAACAGCTGCAAATATCTTAATAGTGGTTTACGACTTGATTGAAGTGCGATTGGCGGGAGTTGTGATGTTTGGGATCGCTTACGGACTATTTTCCATTTCTGTCGTGCAAATTCTCTCATGCTATGATGACATTCATGTATTCACGAGTGCTTTTCAATCTGGAAGCTAYGTTTCATCGATGTTGGCGACGTTAATTTATACAGGTAAGGCGTTCTTTGAGATAATTAARAAAATTCACTCGAGCGAACAATTCTAGTTTATACAACTTTTCAGTAAAATCAGACGTTTTGATTGGTTGGCTTTCGTGTGTTATCAAAGTATAGATACACGGATTACGTCAAAACTAATTGTTTGTTGTATAAAACAGATCTCATTTTTCCGTGCGTGCGTACTCTAATAGATACACAGATGACGTCAAAATGTAGTGAGAACAACAGTCACGCACTCGACTGCGTCTCGTGCGTACTTTTTTGTTCTCACTACATTTTGACGTCATCTGTGTATCTATTAGAGTACACACGCACGGAAAAATGAGATCTATTTGTTAAATAACTCATATAGCAGTGCATGCATGTATTCCCCGAAAATAGTTGAGTTCGCGATCTCTTTTACGCTGTGTTAGCTTCAGTTGTGTGCAAAATATTCAGAAATTTAGAAGAAAAAAAAACATTTTTATTGTCTTCTCTTGCATTTGCGGCACGGGCTGTTGTGAATAAAAGAATATATTACATGGTTTTGAGGCTAACACAGCGTAAAAGAGATCACTAAAAGGATTTATTGTTCCTATGTTATCGCCTCTGAAACTGCAAGGCGCCATCTGCGTAAATAGTGTGTCTTTACATCGAAGTGAGACAACCGTTGAGCCTGCAATGATAGATACCTGTGAATAATTGTCTGYAGGTGTGAAAWARGGTTTCTATCATTGCMCGCTCAACGGTCGTCTCGCTTCGATGCAAAGGCACGGCTACCTTTCAAGATGGCGCACTTAACCGTGAAGGAGACTATTTCTACTGAATTCTCTGGTTATACTACTGGAGTACAAGAGAGCACCACTCTCCGCCTGAGTAAACTCTTCCTCACTTGTAAATAATCGTGCAATATTATAAATAATCTCCAGAATTATATACAGCTTGAATACATTATATCTAAAATATAGAATTGTCACTTTAGTTCTCACCACATGGTCTTGTGCCGCCCCACGAACAGTCATTGCAGCATGTATCCCAACATGTCTTCTGCCATATGTATTCTACTGCCTTCTTGATAAAGAACCATTGAAGAAGCATAACTCACAAATCAGGACAAGTAAATCAAACCATGGTGAATACAAGAAAGTGCCTGATGATGAACGTAATGAAAGGCATGGAATGGCTGGCGTTGATGATGACTCAGGCGGAGAAGTCATGAAGCAAAGATTCTGGTATCAAGCGGAAACAAAGTTAACGTATTTTATAAAAGTATATCCATATATAACTTCGTACATGTTAACTTATTTCATTTCCACTTTATCTTTAAATTCTGTACTAACAACGATCACCTTTCCTTCTGCACCTTTCAGAATTCGAGACCATTTTCTACTTTACGTGTTATCATCTTATTTTGGTTGGTGCTTTGGTGGTTTGGCGTTAGTTTTCCTTTCTTTTCTGTTCCCCAAAAAGGTTGACATTTTCAAAGTCCGACGGCTGTGGATTATAATTTTKCTAGAGCTCGGATTTTTGATGTTTTTCCTCTGTTTATCKTGGTATCATTTTATACACAAGGTGTATGYAGTGCTGGTCTCTTGCTTGATTCAGGGCTTTCTCTTTGGAACCACATCAGTTCATAGTCTTGTATGTGCTGCTGATCTTTTCCAAGAWGTTTCTGATAAAGGAACAGCTATGGGGATGGTGAAAGTTGGCAATTCAGTCGGTCGTGTYATTGGGGGCTTGATGGGTCTGTTTGTGGAGGTTTATCTCAGAAATCACTGTATCACTAGGTTGTTATTGGGAAAATTTTGTCTGACAAGATTTGAAACTAGTTTAGCTTGGAATAAAAATATTGTTTGCAATTAAGACATCCGAGGGAACAGTAGCATTTATTCAACGTTATATTTTGGGGGGAATGTGTAGTAGCGGTCGGCTACAAAATGTGAATAGCGATATCCACTGGAAAATCCATGGAGTTGGGAAATTAAAGKTTGATCTCCTAATATGATAGAATTCATTTATGGYTTGCATGAGCTTCCGTTATGGGTTGGTGCGCTCCAAAAACGCGGTTAGTACACAATTTTGTGTCTCGTCAGTCAGTTGAACGAGGTCATAATGCTCTAATAGTTACCCGCGGAAAATGGATGTCCGAAAAAAATATCTAGTCGGCAGAGAACGCAGGAACACTTCATGATTCCAACAACAGATTAAAATTACAAGTCCTATTTAGTGGTACCTTTACATTGTAAATATTAACTAAATAAAACCATATTTTTATATGTATGGCTTGAGTTCCTGTTATAGCTTTGGGTGCGCTCCAAACAAAACTAGTCATATAGTGTTCAAATATGTGCAACCTGATCAAACTTTTGTATCCTGAATCAGTTATTCATCTTTCTTTCAAGAAAAGACTTTTTAGCTCGACGTATGAATTTATTAAGGTCTGCACGACTAGGCACGGTAGCGCGCCAGTACATGCGGCACGGCAGGTTGGTGCTATGGCGTTAACCATGCCCAACTTCATCTAGTTTACCGCTAGTTTCCACCAAAATATCCAAGTTTACATCGCAATCTAAAGTTGTTTCACGGTTAATGAATTCATATTCGACTGACTTCGGCAGATCGGACAAGTTTCTGGCACTGCGTTCTTGCATAATTTACATAAACTTGGCCACAGAAGCGTATTATTATTTGGGAGTAACCTTAATATTCTTGAAGGCTACAAATGTCATTGTTTTATGGAAATTTTTTTCGAAAGCTGCATGTTTGGTACCGTCTTGATGCGATACAAAATTTTGATTACCTCGTTTTACTTGAAGCGCATCCAGCCATAACCGGCGCCAAAACGTTCGAATAAAACAGAGATCTATAGAACGCTTATTTCACCGAATATTTGATATTACAAACGCTATGTAATGACATCTTAATTTGTTAGTAAATGAAAACTTAACTTTGAATAATGTACAACAAAACACAAACTCTTATTAGCATTATAAAAACTCTGTTCTTATTCGAACATTTCGTCACCGGTTATGGCTGGATTCGCTCCAAGAAAAAAAACTGTCAGCGGTCAGTATATTTAGTGTCGCATCAATGGATTTATCAGTGCAGTAGTCATATAGTTCAMAACAGCTCGATGTGCAAATTTTCACTTACATTCTGTCTATAACAAGAACAGCATGAAAAAATGCCTTGGAACGTTATATTTCTTTTCGATTGGTTTATGGATCTCATTTTCAAGGCTGCTTGTGAGCTTGATAGCCATGCAAGACATTCTCGCAGGAACACTCATTCCAACTACTGTTTTAATAATAGTAAACAAGGTCCCCGAGTTACTGAGTAAAGTAATGAGTCCCTTCATCGTCAGAAGAGTCCACCCTGGTTGGTCGATGCTTCTTGGTACTGTATTATTAACAGCTGCTAATATCTTAGTCGTTTGTTACGACTTGGTCGAGGTGAGATTGGCGGGAGTTGTGATGTATGGAGTAGCTTACGGTTTACTTAGCATTGCAGTTGTACACGTCCTCCCATGCTACGATGATATGGATGTATTTACTGCCGCTTGTCAATCAGGAACCAATGTTTCGTCGTTCTTGGCATCGTTTATTTATACAGGTAAAATTGTATCTCAGTTTATTGACAATTGGTTAATATTTCTCCATTGTAGTATTCTGTTACCTTCAGCCTGGACACGGTAATAATAGCAAAAATATATACAATRAATAATGGGAAAAAATAAGACACGAATACAGAATAATTGGCTTGTAAATATTCACCCTCAGACCCGACTAGAGACTCTTGGGAATCTCATCCCCAGAGACTGTTGCCACTTTTCGCATGATCGCCGAGGATGATTATTCTTGTCGTATGGATGCATTCAGTGGAAATAGCCTGGGGAACGAGATTGAGCGACTCTCCATTTTAGTGTTGGGAAACTCTGAAATAGCAGATAATGTTATTTCAGAAATTATGTTTATTATGGACATTCTGCATTTATTTGGTGTAAATTWGTGCTATTTTGATTTTGTACAATTTCACGCGTATTATGCGTTGGCGGAATTCCCAACCTGGAAAGGGGTAGGATCAACGTTCTTCGTGTCCCTACTAGGGTAAGTCAAAATAGGATAATATAGGGGCTTGCTTGATATTACTTCGWTGAGCAGTGCGGACATCTTCCAAGAATATGATGCAGCTGTCGTGCATGCAAACCTAAACAAAAGTRTCTTTTCGTTGTAGTTCTGACAACTTGGTTCTGTGCTTCTCCACGAACAGTCATAGCAGCGTGCACCCCAACCTGTCTTCTACCATATGCATTCTACTGCCTTCTTGATAAAGAACCATTGAAGAAGCATAACTCACAACATTATCGGACAATTGGAACGGATGATAGTCATCATGAGAGGGTTGGAACAGACGGTATTAATGATGAACCTGGTGGAAAAGTCGCCATCAGAAGATTTTKCTCTAAAGCAGAAACAAAACTAATATTCTTGATGAAAGTATATCCATATATCACTTATTACACGATGATTTTTTTCATTACCACTATAACCRTAGGATCTGTGCTAACAACGATCACCTTCCCATCTGCACCATTCAGAATTCGAGATCACTTCTTGTTTTATGTGTTTCTATTTGATTTGGGTTGGTGCTTTGGTGGTTTCGAGTTGGTTTTAATTTCTTTTCTTTTCCCCAAAAAGGTTGAGCTTTTCAAAATCCGTCGATTGTGGATTCTAGTTTTGCTGCAGGCTGGAATTTTGATATTTTTGGTTTATTTATCTTGGTATCATTTTGTCCACTCGGTTTATGTAGTGCTGATATTATGCTTTTTACAGGGTTTTTTTAAAGGAAGTACCGATGTTCATAGTCTTATCTGTGCTGCTGATGTTTTCCAAGATATTTCTGATAAATGCACAGCTATGGGGATGGTTAAACTTGGCAATTCAATCGGTCGTATTACTGGGGGTTTATTAGGTGTGTTTGTGGAGGGTTATCTAAGAAACCATTGTACCAACGATTTGTTATTGGGGAAATTTTGTCTGACAAGATTCGAAACTAGTTCAGCTTGGAGCAAAAATGATATTTGTAATTAAGATATACCACATGATACAGAAGTACATTCGACGTTGTAATTGTAATTCTAGGGTCGTTTGTATGAAGAATTAATGAATATGTTTATTCCATTCAAAATCCATGGAGTTTATATTTTATTTTTATCGAGAMTTTCGCACAACATACAGACTAGACACAAAAAAATGTGGGTCATTTTTATTCTTAAAAACACGAATTTATAGAATTTGAATTTTGATCGTTG